TCCTTCTTTACGGAAGCAAATGTTGGATGATTTCCTCAAAGATGAAGAAGAGACTTGAGGCAATGGAGATGTGGTTCTACAGGAGGATATCATGGATGGAGTGTGTGAGCAACGATGAGGTCTTAGAGAGGATGCAAACAAGGAGGAAGCTTATACTTAACGTCAGGAAGAGGCAGCTGAAGTTCCTGGGACACATAATAAGGAAGGAGAGCCTCTCACAGGTCAAATAGAGAAAAAGAGAGAAGGGAAAATAATGCATGACATACCTAGCGGTTTTAAGCAAGTGGATGACAGAACATGGTCTGGAGGAGGTGGCAGAGGGAAGGAACATGTTGAGAACTGCAAATGGGGGAGAGCCATGATCTCATTAGCATATTAGTCTTGTTTAACTTTCTCTTTTTCCTTCTCTCTCTTAAGTATGGTACTATATATATTCATCAGGTTTATGTACATGATATCAAAGCATAACTGAACGGCTTACACTGTTATGACAGAATTTTGAAATAGAGGCTGCATCATTTTTTGTTTAAATATTTTTTGTTTAGAGACGTTACAAAAAAAGTGACTATGGAATGTTGAAAAATGGACAAAAGCACACAACAAGCAAAATGCATTAAATAAATAATTTTATTTTATTTTTATATCTAAATTTTCTATAATTATTAACAATTTGTTATGATAATTTTAATAATAATTATCTAATAATATTGTTATTATTAGATAGATATGACATATAAATTAATAATGATGATTATCTCGTGAATAAATATTGCATTTTTATGAATAAAGGAAAAGTTATATAGGAAATAATGTAATTTCCCATCAAGGAAAGTTCGAGAAAAATCAGATCAACTTTGGCACAATTCTTAATATATAAGAAACTCCTGTTCATGTTTTCTAAAAAAATAAAACACTTGACCAGATATTTTGACCAATCGGATGTACAAAAAAATATGCAATCGCTTCATAAGAAGTTTGTGGCACTAACATGCATGCACATGATCCCATCAGAACATTTAAATAATGACAATATTTTCAAAATGCTTCAGAACAGTTTACTTGTCCGGAAAATGAATACAACTGTGTCTCACCAGCAGCCCACTTCTTTGACAGCTGAATGAACAGTATCAAATTACAATTCTCAACTTAGTGATAATGCTTTTAACAGCACGCAGCTGCTGATATTTCTCTGTGACTTTCAGAGATTTTAAAGAAAAACAAACATGAACGATTAATTTTTGTTCTCAGATATTTCCACATTTCTTGTGTTGTAAACAGAAAATAATATAAAAACTCTTTTTTGTAGCACTCATGTGAATCATTTTCTACTAACATTAATACCACTTTTAGCACTCTGCTGCCACTTTTTTATCAATGTCAATTTTTGTGCAATTTTGTGCAAAAAGTGGATCACAGAGCCTTGATATTTTTCTCACTTGTAATTGATCAGTTAATATTTTAATCATGTTCTCAGCTCCATTTAAATAACATCGACCTGGTTCCTGACCTGACAAAAAATAATTCCGCCAAATTCTGTCTATGCCTACCCAGAGGCAATCATGTGATTACATTGATTATAAATACCAGACCCGAGTTCGTTCTTTCTCTCTTTTTGATTTCTCTCGATTACTAAAATGTAGCTGTTTAAGAAATTGCGTTTCGACCCTTTGTGTGTAGATGCTATGGAATCATATACACACACACACGCATACATGTACATACGAAACTTAATTACAAATATTATGAACATTACAGAACATTACAAGCATCAACATATTACGAATATTCAACTACAAGCAACGGAAACTAATTAAACATTACAGAACTTTCACACCTTCAACTTCTTCTGAAGCTAAAAGTTTATAAACATATTCTCAGCTTTATAAAATTCTTTCAACTGTGAACATTTTGAACAGCAAGTTCATTCAACTTCCTATGAGTTCAGATAAAAAAATATTTCATTAAAGACTTTAATTCCAGTCAAAGGGAAGTAACCCCCCATGCTTGTACATCATTACATACTTAAATATAAATATGAATATTGTTCTTGTTATAAAAAACAGTTTTTCGTGTTGTTTCTCTTGTTTGATTTTCATTTGTTTACACATTTGTAAAATAAAAAAATGTATGGATTGATTTAGGCCATCAATACCGCTACAGCCTCAAAAGATTGGTAAGTAAATATAGGTCAACAAGGAAAATAGATTTCTTTAAGAGTGTGGCATATAATTTACATTAGTTTTAAGTGATCAATACAAATCCTATTATATTTTTAGATTGTTTTAAATACATTTTTCAGAGTTTTTAACTTGTATTCTATCGATAAAATTCTTGATGATTATTTGTTGTTCATTTCACTTCTATTTTTAAAGAGTTTGCTGCAGGCTGATGTACACATTGAGAGATAAACACGTGTGTCTCCTGAAATGCCTACAACAAACATGGCAGACTCAGGATGTGAGTCCATGTAAAGAAATGTAAAGAAAAAGACAAGAATCAAAATATATGTACAAACAAATGATAATGTATTAACAAAGAAAGGTAGATGAATTCCAAAGACAAAGATGTGTGTAACAAGATAGAATGTGAAAATATTCAAAAGATATGAATGTGCATATGTATGTATGTGTGTGTGTGTGTATGTCTTGTTCATGCATTTCCCAAAGGGGAATGCTTTTTTCTGTGAGACATGTAACCAGAAAAAGTGAGAAGAGACTGATAAAAATTTTCGCAGAGTATTTATAGTCCTGAAAGCACCCCCTAGTAGCGGTTTCAAAAATTAGGAGGAGTTAACCTGACAAGTTTATTTAAAATTGGACAAAAAGTTGTTGGACAAAAAGATCCATCGAACAAAAAGACATTGGACTAAAAGATGTGGACAAAGTCATGTTGGACGAAGTGATATCAGATGAAAAATCAGGCTATGAGCAAAAAGACAAACATTACTAAGAGTTACAAGAGACAGGAAGTTGTGGTGAACCATGATTGCCCACGTCCTGAAGGAACAAGGCAAATAGAAGTCAAACAAAAGAACCATCAAAAATATTTTGGCTTTTTTAGAGATTATAACTCCAAAGCTTATTTTGTATATCTGTTGTGGTATACGTTGAGAGATAAACACGTGTGTCTCCTGAAAATACCCACAACAAACATAGCAGACTTGTGATGTGAGTCCACGTAAATAAATAAAAAGAAATGACAATAATTAATATATATGTACAAACAAATGATAATGTATTAACAATAACAGGTTACAAGTGACAATGACAAAGATGTGTGTGTCAAATGAATGTAATGGGACATAATTAAATTCACTAATTGAGTCCGGTAAAAATGAAATTGATGTATTGCCTGCTCCTTGCTTTACTAGGGTTGTCTTTAACTGTTCTCGATATTCAATATGCTCACATACATTTGATGTAATAATGCCTTCTGGAATTCTTGCTGTTGCTGAATAGTTATCTTCAATTCTTCCATATTTTATGTTTGTGCAAGTAGTCATTAACTAGAAAGTAAAAGTGTTCTTTTTTTCTATTTCATAGAAATTTGAATCCTTGTTGCCACTGTTATATCTTCATTCCATTAAATGAAGATAATACAATCATGAAATATAATGTTGCTTGGAGTTGATGTAGTCGCACTGAATTCTTTAGTAAGGATATAACGCTCACTCCCAGCTAGCTCTCCCCTGACGATTCTTGGTGTCAGCATATATGCTATTTGGATGAGTCTAAGTTATATTCTGGAGAGATGCGTTTATCTCCACAACAGAAACATTCATAGAAACCAGCTGGATCTGCCTCAAACAATGTCAGATTTTCTCATGATAGGATCAGCCTTGTGTACTTTTGATCAGGTGTCAAAAGATGTGAAACCTACCAGGCAGAAACCTTCATCATGCCAAGCTCATTGTGCAGAATATTCTAAACTCTCTCATGGGACATAGTAATTGCATTGACTATTTGATTTATAGTCAAGTGCCTGTCATCCATCACCAATGAAGCCTTTACTAGTTATATTTGAGGTCTTCTTTGAACAGTTAGATGCCAGTTTAACTGGAAAGAAATAATATGAAGAAGAGTTGAAATTAATGCATGCAAGATTTCACAGTTCTAGCATCACTCATTCACAGTCAGCCTAAGAACTTTTCATCCCACCCTTGTATTCTGCGTAGCAATACAATTTCTCACACATCCTTAGGAGATGAAAAGATAGATTCTTTTTCCTTTCCTTTTTAATTCAAAGAGTTTCTCAGGAATACTGTCTCCTGCCCATCATTGAATTATCAAACATAAAATTTTGTTAGCATTTTTACATAGCTGTAAAAGTAGGATTTTTGAAAGACTAAACACCCAAAACCCATCAGGGTGGTCCTGCTTTCTGGTTGGTGGGACACAAGTGGACAGAAATGAGTGGTGGATCCCCCAGCCAGTATCTATATAATGAATCAGACAGTGAGTGAAGGGGCAATCGGTGAAATGACTATCAGTCAGGGAAACAGCAAACAGTTTGTGAAACAGCTAGACAGTGAGTGTGTAAGCGGGGTATATTTTTCTGTGGCCAGAACTTAGTGAGAAGTCAGTAAGAAGAAGTTTGCTTTCTAGAAGCAGAAGGAGAGCATCAAATTTTGCTACTCCATGACCCAACAAGTGTCTTTAAAATATTTGTCACTATTGTCTTCTTGTCTTGGTCATAATATTAAGACAAATCTGTGGATCATAGTGAGCACGGGCATATTCACATACAGCAAACCTTGGATGTCATCACAGCTGGTGCAGTGACACACAGAATCACATCTGTTATAACTTATATTACTAAATATTTTTATTTGTACTATGAAGTTTCCTTGTTCCTTTGTTTATTCTACTGACATTAAAATATATGTCTTTTTCTTTTAATTCAAATAAAAAAACTTTCATATTGAAACCGAAATACTTTTATTTCATGGTGTGGATGTTTAGATATTTTGTCTTGTCATATTTTTTCTTTTTTTTTTTCAGAGGAGCATCAAGGTTTTTTAGTGCTTCTTGGTATAGAGAGGCTAAAGATGGTTTATATTTGATGGATGATGTCAAATGTGCTGGAGATGAAAAGCAATTGCAGAAATGTTCATATAATATTGATCATGACTGTGACAAGAACGAAGCAGCTGGTGTGATTTGTAACTTAAATACAGGTTAGTAGAACAAGAATTTTTTTGTTTTTTTACTTCAAAATGTGTCTCTGCAGATCAAGTTGAACCTGGAAAAGAAACTTTTAATTTTATACAAAGAATCAATTTGAGCTTAGATGAATATTTGCAATATTTTCAATTGTTTGTTATGATAGTAAATAAAAAAGAGGCTCTGATGGTTCCATCATTTAGTAGAGAGGTTTTCTTGAACAAAAAAGTGATTCCTAACCCAAGAATCTTTAAGCTTCAGGGATGACACAAAGAAAACAAATATTGATACCTTATATCACCCAGACAGACCCCCAGACCAGGATGTAGGATAAGCCTAACAGTGATATGAAAATACCAACTGAAAAAAAGAAATATAAGAATTGATATTTTCAATGTATTTTTTCAGGCTGTGAAGACCAATGGATTGCTGGCCCAGCTGGTTGTTACCGTCTTTTTAATGGTACTATGTCTCGTTATGATGCCGAAAACAAGTGCAAATCACTGAATGGACATCTTGTAAAAATTGAAACGCAGGAAGAGAATAATTTTCTCAGTTCAATCCTGCGTACGTGGAAAGGTAATGCTGTACACATAAATCTATTATATTTTCTCATGCTGTAGTATCTACATTTATCTCCCAAGCCATGGGTAATATGTCAAAAATGAGATTTTATTTTTATTTGCTAAGCTAAGGCAAATGGACAGAGAGGAAGAATGAGTGTGTAATATCTACCTTCCAAGACAATCAGCATTCAGAATCCAGTCTTTTTACCTAGGGTTGAATACTGGCACTTATGATTGGAATATATTACTATCCCAGCCAAAAGGCATGACACCCAATAATATTGATATACTAAGTGTGACCCAAAACTTTAAGCAACTGATGGAGTGAAATGGCTTTCTTGAAGAAATAAAATAATTGATAAAAAAATAAGAGTTTCTTGGTGACTTTGAGAAATGTTTACTATCTTTGAAGATATGAGAAATACACATTCATTTGGCAGATAAAAAGATTAATTAATTAAAAGTTTCTCTTAATTTTTAAGGAGCACTAATATATATATATATATATATATATATAATGTTTGAAAAATTTCTCAGAGTTAACCTGTAGAAAAAGACAATATTTACAAATGTAGAAGACAATAGGAAAACTGTAATAGTTGCCAACATGTTTCGTCCGATGTGGACTTTTTGAAGGCATTGAATTTATTAAACAAAGTAACTAATAATAGCAAAACAAAATGTCCTTAGCAACTGGAAGAATTTAGAGAATGCTATTTTCATACTGTTAAGTGAAATTACGTCAATTACTGTCACATGTAGAGATATTGTTTTTATTGCTGTGTTGACAGATTCAACCATTTTCTTTTGATTTCTTGATACTGTTGTGTACGTTTCCTCAGAAGGAAAATCCTTGAGAGTGCCGCCATTGAATATTACCCAAATATTAACCTATGCCCAGGCCTTTTCTCTATTTCACCTTTCTTAACAGAATTACTACTCTCCCAAACAAACGTACAGAACAGTATTAAAAAATCAAAAGAAAATGGTTGAATCCATAAACACAGCAATAAAAGCAATATTTCCACACGTGACAGCAATTGACATAATTTCACTTAACAGTATGAAAATAGCATTCTCCAAATTCTTCCAGTTGCTAAGGACATTTTGTTTTGTTATTATTAGTTACTTTGTTTAATAAATTCATTTTGTTTTGCCTTGAAAAAGTTGACATCAGACAAAACATGCTGGCAATTATTACAGTTTTCCTGTTGTCTTTTACTGTTATGGTCCAGGTCCTTGTACCACGGTGATGGTCCAAGGTAGAACTAATAAAGAAGAACTCGAACACAGATATATTATAAACAGGAATATATACAGAGAAGTAGAAAGTGTTAGTATGAACAATCAGGTTTAGTAGGGAGAACAATGTAGTCTCGACCAGTATCACTATTCCAATGTCTTGTAGTAATTGTCTGAACACTGTTTCGGACTGCCTCTGACTGGACTGACTGACTTGCTTGCTCTGACAGACTCTGGACGAACTTCACTCCAGACTTCAGACTGAACTCTCTGCTTCCTCTTGAGGCACAATATTTATGACGTATGGAATAGTCCATTATGTTATTATGGGTAAAGTTCCATAACATTTACATTTGTAAATATATATGTTTCCTATTTGTTCTTTATTCTATCATTCTGTCAGATTCTTGTCCATACTTGATTTGTATTTGATCCCTATATATTTATATACACACACACACACACACACATATATATATATATATATATATATATATAGGGATCAAATGCAAAACAAGTCAGATTCTCGGTCCATACTTGATTTGTATTTGATCCCTATATATATATATATATATATATATATATATATACAGGGATCAAATACAAATCAAGTATGAACTAGAATGTGATAGAATAATAGAATAAAGAACAAAAAGGAAACATCTATCAATTTAATATGCTTCACTTTTATTAAAGCTTTGTTAGTGTTGTAAATTAGGGGAAGGTTTCTCAATAGAATAATCAAACAAAGGTTGGAAATGAATGATTATATTTAGACAAGAACAACATTCAAGATTTGTCAGCGGTGTGTAGAAAGTAATCATCTGGTAGTGGTGAGCTAGTAGTGAGTCAAGTAGATCCCAAGTGGAAGACAACATTCATGTATATACCACTTTATTTATAGGAATAGGCTCATACCCATTATCATCCACATGTACACTATAACAGTTAGAGAATTAGATAAGGAGAAAAAATGCTGGTATTTTTGTGCTGTTTGATCTTAATTAGTTAATCAGTTTTTATGTGCTATTTGACTTGTTAAAGAACATTAATATAATTTATTGTGGTCTGAACTCAAGGACAAGTGACACAATCAACTACCAAATATAAATAATGTCTACTAGATATACATACACACAAACACACACACTGATTTATGACTATACATTATAATCTGAATCCCACATAGTCAAACTAGAATTATGATACGTTTACATACATAAAGCAATGTTTTTCAAGACATTCCTCATGATTAAAAAAAAAACATTCTGATATTTATTAAAAAATGCCATAGTTCATGGGCATCTAGTCTATATGAGTAATTATTTTTTAGACTAACTTATTAACCATTACCCCAAAATGAGCTTCTCTTTTTTTGTATTGCCTTGTTGATGAGGTGTAGAATACACAGACTGTATCCTCTATCCCCCAAAAGGAGTTACCTACCAAGCAGATGTTTGTGGATGCAACACAACCTGCTTATACACTCAAGTATAAAAAAAACAGATTTTGACATTAAATAACCCCCACAGTGGTTGGTATGTTGTAAAATTAATTCACCTGGAACCCTTTATGTACTGAGCTTAGTATGAGGCACCCTGTATGTACCAAACTCTCTACAGTAGTAATGGTTTGCAATACTAACCTTCTAATCTTTGCTTGTAAGGCAGCTCAAAGACATAGTGCTTTATTTTGAAAGAAGGCTTTTCTCAGGAAAACACCTGATTTAACAGAACAGAATTTTAGGCATTAAACAGGCCAGAACAGATGAATATGGACTTACAATTTTGAGAGTGCAAATATCCCCCAGGTAGAAGAAAAAAGAGCCCTCTTGGGTAAATAATATTCTGTAGTAAAGAATCTGGGGAGATCCTTTTGCATAAAAACAGTCACATCCAGGTTTCTCCATTAGCAGCAGAACAACTTTGCATATCCAGATATGGGTCTCTCTGGAATGTGTCTAGATCTGGGTCTTTGTCAACCATCTTATGTCAATAAAAGTGACACAAAAACCAGCAGTTGGTAATCTGATTTTTAGTGAGACTAGCTTTGCTATTGTTGGAGATTCCATGTAAAGATGTTCCCACGTTGTATTTTGTTCTTGAAGTTGCATACCACCAACAGTATTGTTTTTTAAGGCAGTGGCTTCACTTTTAATTATTCAGTTTTTTTATTTCCCTTTGCTGTCTGTTTCCCCCCTGAATTGTTAAGAGAACAATATGTTAAGTGTTTCCCCAAATCTCAACAAGCTTTTGCCTTATTTTTCAACACTAGGTCAGATGAGTTAGATGGGTGGAGTAGAGCACCCCAAACCAAATGTACCAATTTCTAGCAGGCCTGCAAAGAGATGTAAGGTCTAGTGTTATCCTGATGGAAAACAGCACCACTTTGATTGGCTAATTTTGGGCACTTTTCATTAATTGTATTTAATCAGTCCAAATTGGAAACAGTATTTCTCTGAATTCAATGTTTGATTTTGTGAAAGGAGCTTGTAATATACATTGACCTTCCAGTCTCATCAGATATATAGCATAGATTTTTGATTAGTTAACAGTGGCTCATTTCATTTTCCCTAGGATCTTTTTCACCCACCATTGTTTTAAACAATCCATTTTGCATGACCTGTAATTTTTCTTTTCAAAACTGTATTTTTTATTGCTTTTGAGCAGAGAATTACAGATGGAAATGCAGTCCATTTTTCCCTAAAGTTGTAGACACCAAGGCATCATATCAATTCTTATATCTAAATGTTTTCAAATACCCTCCAATGCTTATATGAGATATGTTGAGTATCTCTGTGATGTCCTGTGTCATAAAACCTGAATTATTTTAATCAGCATTTCAATTTGGTCATCAATAACTTCAAGCCTGTCAGAACATCCTTGGCGTTTTAGATCCAAATTTACGCTTCTGAACTTACTGAACTACTTACTAACATTTCTCTCTTACTCATAAATGGCACACATCTTTTTTTGCTGTTTGTACAGTATTTTTTCTTTCTTAAAATGCATCTCATTTTCTTCCATTTTCATATTTAATGTCAAAACAAAAAGATCCAAAAGCCAACCCCAAATTCTATAGAGAGATTCATTGAAATATCATCTCTTGTTTGGTTTGGTATGTTTTCTTTTATGGCATATCAACCTCAATGGGTTATTTAATGCCAACAAGATTTTTATTGCTGATAATATTTTTGCAAAAATGTATTGCTACCAAAAGGCAGTAGTTGCTCCTATTTATATCTGGGAGAGTCCATGCATGTGTGGGTAAATTACTATAATACTATCTATGAGCCTGTTCATATCTATCTCTCTATCTATCTATCTATCTGTTGTGGCCTTATTAGGGCCAGACATAAAGACACAAGAAAGGAACTGAGTTAAACAAATATAATAACAGAAACAGTAATACAAACATATACAAACAAGAGTGTTACACCAAGAATGTTCAGTCCGACTGTCAGAGCTGACTGCTGGAAACTTGCCTCTCCAAAAGGCAATAACTGCCCCTATTTATAGCTAGGAGAGTCCATGCATGCATGGGTAAATTATCATAATACATTATAGCAATTCACATATGCATATATCGATTCACATATGCAGGTGTTTCAAATGCCTTGCAACAATCATATGAGATGTATGGAGTATCTTTGCAATGTCCCATGCTATGTGACCTGAATTTTTTCTCATCAGCATTTTGATTTGATCATAATCAACAATGGAAGGCCTACCAGAACATTCTTAATTTTTCAGATGAAAATTTCCACTTCTAAACCTAGTGGATCTCAATTCTGAATGGTACACTAAGCTATGACACCATTTCCATAAATGGCACATATCTTTTTTTGCTGTTTATACAGTGTTTTTCCTTTCAGAAATAAAGGAACATCAAACGACAAAATTCATCTTATTTACTTCTATTTTTACTTTTAAAGTAAAAACTTTTAAAATTCACAATTCACCCATGAATCATATAGAAAGCTACATTGTAATGTCACCTTTGAGAATATGTATATATGTCATAAATTTTAGTCACGTGTTAAACAAGATCACATGTTCAAATGCTAAATCTAAAATGAAGCATTTGATTGAAGGAGGAAAGAAATATTAAAATAAATGTTATTTAACCAAATTGATGTTTATATAAGAATGAATCTAAAGCAATACTTATATCCTTTGCTTATTGTTATAATCCATTTATTGTTAATTAAAAGGTGCTCCCAATAATTGTATATTTTCCTTCTTATTGGTGAAAATTTTTTGTCTTGTAGAAAAGCATTACTGGCTGACTGATGGAATAAAGGAAAAAAATTGGATTTGGAAAACAGATGGAAAACCAATTTCATCTTCCTTTTGGTTTCCAGGTAAATTTTATGTATTTACACATTTATTTTTTAGTATTTGGTGTTTTTTGTTTACTTTTGGCAGGTGGGAAATTGAAGAGCCAAGTTCAAATCCCTATCTTCTTTGTTGAGGTCACTTTTGTGCTGACACTCTTGGGAAATGCATGAATACATCTCTTTTTTTTCTGTCCTATTTATGCACTAAATAGCAGGATAGACTGGGCTTTTGAGCCTTGGATGGTAGCTGGCTTAGGTTAAAGACAACCCTCACTTTAAAACTGGAGAAGATGACAGAAAACCATTCCAGTCATTTTCCTGAGAATCTCATGGCAAATCACATATATTCAAGAAAAGGAACATGACTGCTTTCACCAGCTTTCTTGATTGAATCCTTGTCAGAATTTCATATAGGCATAACAGCTTCTGTTAGATGCTGCCTTATCTACTAAAGTATGTATGGGAGAGTGGTTTACCCAAGTGCTCCCATTTTCTTTTTCAGCATCAATCAAAACATACCAGGGACATGACATTTTTGGTCATGATATGGAGCATTGGGACAGAAGATAAATTGAAATATATTCAAATCATTTTATCATGGGCATTTGGGCTAATTGTATACAAACATCTTCTGAGAGAATTCAAACTCAGTTTGTTTATATTGATTTTCTAAGCATAGCTCAGATGTGGCACAAGGCCCAAAGTATGGTACACCCATTGAGGATTGAACCCACTATTCAGTTGTAACTGTTTTAGCGAGACAAGCTTGCTTAACCATTACACCATGCTGAGGTGCCCCACTCAGTTTGTTTGTATACCATTTTCCTTGGTATTATCTCAAACCACCAGATTATCTCATTTGTATTTATTATTAACTTGAGAGAGGTTATCATTTTTATTGCATGCATCTGGCATTGATATTCCACTGACCCTCCCTCTTTGGTGCAATGAGGGAGGTACTGCTGCAGGGTTGAAATCCCCAGAACTAGGTGTGCCTTGATAATATTTTGTATGTTCTGTCCAAAGATAGAAACACAAGAGATAAAATGTAGTTTATTCACCTCAAAGAATAATTAAAATCTTTTTATTTTTATATTGAATTATATAATCTTATTTTTGTCACCATAGCATGACATAAGAAGTTGATAGATCAGGGACTAGGAGAGATAGCAAAAAGGATGCTGTGTCCTTTTGTCTGATGTCACTTCTTCCAATGTCACTTTGTCCATGTCTTTTTAGTCCAATGTCTTTTTGTTAAATGAATTTTTTGTTCGATGTCTTTTTGTCCAAGAAAATAAAGTGTTTGAGAAAATAAAATCTTGTTATAGGATTGTTTTACCGTTTTCTTTCCTTTTATGTTAAAAGTTGTTATTGTCTCATTTATACCTTACTAGCAACCATACCCAGCTGGTCAATCAGAAAAAGCATTCAATTAGAATGGAGCAAAAACAGCATCATGTTCAGATGTAACAGAATCTATCTTCTTCAATTACTTTAAAGTACTTTCATTAAAAAACATTTTGAATTAATGCAGTTACTGATATAACAGAAGTAGTCTGTATTTATTCAATCAAAGTTAGCTGAGGACATGAAGGGGTAAAACAGGTAACATGAAGACCCACTTCAGACCACATTTAGTTTGGAGTTTTTGAAATTCAATTTGTCAGTGTGCTACCAGAGGATACATTCATAAAGCAATTGTTAAGTTTGATGAAAATTGTTTGAAAGTTCAACAAAAAATAAGAAAGAAACCAGTAAAAATTGCCATATTTGCCATTTATGTGGGTTTCCACTATATGGGTTAACTCAGTTATCAAGTTAAATGATTGTTAAACAACTTAATGTTGGCTACAATTGAGTGAAGTTTGTATTAGATTGCTTCAAAATTGAGGGAGATTTTAGTTTAAAATTCATCATGATGTAAGTAACCTACATATGGAGTCTGAACGAAATCAGAGGAAAAAATTTGAATTTATCGATTTTTGATCTGCTTTATCAATTATTGATTTTTTAAAAATTATTGATATTTTACACTAAGAATCTATCTCTTGCATTGTACAATGTATGCGCCAAGTTTGGTCAAAATCTGTTGGATGGATCTTGAGTGAAAATGTATCACAAGGACAGACAGACAGACACATAGACATCCTGTGTTTTATATATATAGATTAACTTTAGAGAGGTTATCCTTCTTATTGCATGCATCTTTGTGCTATTAGTAAGAAAAAGGATTGGAAAAAATTCTAATATATAAATCATTTGTGCATGCTCTTGAGAACTGGAGATGTTTATGAAAAGTGGTTGGGTAAAAAGTTTTTTTTATCTGTAAGCAAAGACAAATTTGCATGAGAAAAATCTGAAGTAAAATCCTTGCTTTAAAAAGATAATAAAATTAACGAATTATTGAATTTGAGTAAAATTTTTTGTTAAATTTCTAACCCAAATTTAAGAGGAAAAATAGTTAAAAGATGCAAACAATGTAAGTCGATAAGAAATAATAGACAAAATGAAAAATATACAGTGAGTGTTGAAGTGATATTGAGGATCAGTGAAATGGTAGGAGGCAGTAGAAAAGTCTGGAAATGGTAGGAGGTAGTAGAAAAGTCTGAAAATAGTAGGAGGCAGTAGAAAAGTCTGGAAATAGTAGGAGGCAGTAGAAAAATCTGGAAATGGTGTGATGAAAATCTGATGAAATCAAAGATGACACAATATTTTTCAAGGCCAAACAAATTTCATCATTCACCCTCAAAAATAGTTTCATATTACTGCACACCACTGCAAATGACTTAATCTGAGGAAAGAATAGAAATCAATTACATCCTGTTACTCCAGTCGGTCTAAAATGGACTGTATGGGGAAAAAAAGGAAACTAAACAGGTTATTTCAATTAATTTGCACAAGGGTGTATATGTCTGTTATGTCACATTTTCTCTTCCTTTCTCATGTTTCCTTTCTCTTTCCCTTTTGTGAGATCATTCGCTATTAAAGTATGTCTTGGTCTATTCATCATTCATAATAATGTCCTTCAATATCTGTCTATAGCTTTGAGATGAGGTATTATGATTACTTATTATAAAAGAAATTAAATTGTCAGCAACATCCAAGACTCAATTGAACAACAAAGACATTATTATTTACATTATTCGGACTGTTATCCTCATCTTCGTTGCCATATTCACAACATTTTAGCCGTTGTACACTCCAGCCTTCTTTAGGTGATTGGAATTCCAAACTGAATTCTTTATTTCATTCTAGTTCCACGTGCCATGACTCTTCTGGATGTTTCAGTTATTTCCCTTTAACTCAACTCTCCAAGACGTTGGTTAGATCCAGTGACTAGACCCAAAGAGTTGTGAGTTTAATTTCAGGCCACAGTAGTAGTGAACCAAATTTGGAGAGTTGAGTTAAAAGAAGAGGCATGGCACGTGGAACTAAAACAATCTACCCTGGTGGACAAAATAAAGAGTTTGGTTCGAAATTCCAATCACCTGAAGAAGGTTGGAGCATACAACGACCAAAATGTTGTGAACATGGCAACGAAGATGAGGATAACAGTCCGAATAATGTAAATAATAATGTCTTTGTTGTTCAATTGAGTCTTGGATGTTGCTGACAATTTAATTTCTTTTATAAGTTTTTATACCAAATTTAGCAGAAGATTCAATGAAGTCATAATGTACCTGAAGTGGCTACCTAATAACAAGCTGAAACAAAACTCACAAGTATTTGTTTTCTATGAGAAATATTGTACTGTGATTAGCTGAATTTGTATCTGTAAATGTTTTTGTTATAGGTTGGATTTAAATGAAGCACAAAACTAGCAATTCTGCTACAAATTTCTTTCTGATTTTCCCACATTTATATCCTAACTAGTAGCCACTAAGATATTTTACTAATTTGTAATAGCTAAGTCATTTCATGAAGTAGTAAGTATTAAATTATTTTACTAAGTAGTATTATCAAAATCATTTTACAAACTAGTAAGAGTTAAGTCATTTTACTAAATATTAATAACAAAGTCATTTCAACTAATTTTAATAGTAAAGTCATGTTTTGAAGCATTTATTCAATAGATGCAGCATTCTCACTAGGTTCCTGGGGATCAAGTAGTAGCAAGTCACTTTAAACCACTAGTACATTCTTCAAGACTTTATCAACCCCAGCACTGTTGTGGTTTGTCTACAGGAATGAGGCTAGGTTTTTGTTATGTTTCAGCTTTGTAATGATTTTATACTGTGGCTAAGGCTTGTTATCACAACTTCTGTCTGATAATGAAGCATGTTGAAGCAATAAGAAATCTTCTCAATGTTGTATATTAATCTACACAAATATGTTTGTATTCTTTTGTTCTTTTAGGATGGGAACCCCAGTCACAGTTTCCAAATCCCAGCAATAATACCCTTAAGAGATGCCTAGCATTGGCCAATGCTTTTAAATACAAGGACTCCAAATACTTGTCAGAATATTTCTACTGGGATAATATCAAGTGCAACAATGTTAGTAATTTTATTTGTGAAACTGAAAAGACAAAAACACCTTCTGCTGCTGGTAAGTGAAAGAAGACACAACTATATATCTAAACCTATTCATGTAGTAAGTCTGTCTGGAGAATATTCAACCATCTAATATTAACAAAAAATAACTTCTATATAGCAATAATACTTTTGAAAATAATTGTCTTGGATTCTCACGCACTCATCCTAGAGTCCTTAAATCAGTCTGCAAATTCCTTTTTTTGGGTGTGGCCTTCAGCTGCCCTATTGCATATTTCTTAATTTCATTGCCTTTTCAGTGGTGGTTTTAACTTTGGGAAAAAACCGGAAGTTAACAGACCTGAAAGGTACAATGCTTTACCAAAATACCATGCAAATGGCTTTGTTCATCTAATTGCTCAGTCATTGTGAATGTGGCAGTAGCATAGTGTACATGCTCAAATGGTGGAATCTCACTGCCTACTGAGTAAGCCTCTGGAAATCTATTCATGCATGCACATTAAGGTCCCCCTCTGATTAGTTGCCATGTTATGTCAAGGCTCTTGAGACATTCAAAACTGATCTTGTATGATTAAAACAACACCTAAAAGCAACATCCTGGTATTTAAATATCAGCATCCATGGAAAAATAAGGATTTTTTTTTTTATATTTTTGCAACTTCTATTAAATAATAGTTTAGCAGGCTATTATTTTTTAGAAAACTGTATTTCTGCTCTGGCTTCCTCATTTTGACCTTTGAGGTCAGATACAGGAAAACAAAGGAAGTTGATTTTGATTGGCTAAGCTAGCATGGGGATGATAGAGATAGAAAGGGATTTCAGAGACTCATTGCTTAACTGCTGTACCATGGAGATTTGTTTCTTTCATGAATGCAACATCTCTCAGTGGGGTGTGAGAGAGCGACCCCACCATTTAGTTAGAAGATGTACACATCAACATGTTTAATAAAATAGTTAAGTTCAAAATCCTTTTGTTAAATGCTTTCATCTCTGGACCCAAGAACATTTTGACACCCAACAAGGAAAAGATACAACAATGTGAGTGAGAAGATGCTATCACACCTAAGCCCAAGACACCCACACAAGGGACTATGCAACACAATTTGCCACAGTGGTCAGGACCTTCCAACATGGGGGTGATGCAGAATGAAAGTTACAACACAATGTAGAAAAGTTCGGAGAGGATTTTTGGATGGAGGACTCAGAAAAAAGAAAAGAAAAAGGGAATGTGAAAAAAGAAAAGAAAAAAGTAATCTTGATATCAAGACAAAAAAAAAAATCAAAACTAGTCTGTAAGTACAATGATATTACTATGTTTCTCCTCCCCACCCACACATCTAATCAACAAACCAAAATAGGAAGTAAAGATGTAAAAAAAAAAAAAACATTAAGCAAATGAGGTTTGAGGGACATAAAAAAAAGCAGACGAATTGGAAAAAGATGGAAGGACAATGAACACCCACATTCATGCATATATACTGGTGTAACAATGTCAATTTTGATGAAACATTTTAGTGAGAGACTGATTTTGTTTTACAAAAGTTTAGGCATGCATTCAAATGTTTAGAATTATTTTGTTAATTGCAATTAACTGACAAATGATTGTTTTTTTCATTTTTGCAACAGAGTGGAATTTTTTATCTTTTATTTTAAGAGCCATGTGTATGTCCTTTTGCCTTCATTGGTTGAATAATTAAGTTAATTGTTAAATTTTGGCAGTTAATTTTTTGTGGAAAAATTATGTTAATTAATTGTGGATTCAGCCTGCAAAGTTTTGGGTTTCCAAATATGTTTTGGTCTGTGTACTGGGGGGAGGGAAAGCATTGTCACACCTGGCTATCTAGATAAGGAAACAATGGAGGGTAGAGAGGGAGGTTTGTGTTATGAAGTATTCAGTATCACTTGAATATAACCCCAAGATACCCTTGGGGTCAAGGAAGGGCTCTGACAACCAGTTATGGAATTGGTCAAATGGTCTGTGGGATGCTGGGTTGTGGTAGCAAGTAAGAGATGAAAGCCCTTGTAACCAGATCGGGACCAATAATACTGCTAATTCTTCTTTGGATTTGACCAAGCTGCTCAAGATAAATAGCAGGTGCAGAGGACCATATATGGCAGCAATATTTTAAGAATGTGTGAACTTATAGATATGGAAGATAAATTCTGTAGAAAAAAAATTGTCTCACATATCACAGTGAGCCAACTTTCTTAGCAGCTGACCTAGCAATAGATTCAATATAGTCTTTCCACTTCATGTCAGCTGAGAATGTTAGCCCAAGAAAGTGCAACAAGTTATTTTTTTTGGAGGTTAGCATCAGGTATGCTAATGGAAGGCAGCAAGGCGTCTGACAGAGGATTAATGGAGAAAAGTTTAGTTTTGGAGACGTTAAAAGCCATCTTTTGCCCCAGTTAACGACAGACTTGAGGTCATTTTGGACATCGACTGCCAATTTGACTTTATTGGACTGGTCAAACTTACTATTGAGAGTGAAGTAAATAGTTGTGTCATAGACACCAGGTTGAAAGATGATGCCATCAGGAAGGTTGTTAATGAAAATTGAAAACAAAGTAGAACCAAAGATAGAGTCAGGGGGGTGGGGGAAGCATCATTAGTGCAAAAGGATCTAGAAGAGTGGCCATTCAGGATAATTTTCAGTTCACATTTTGATAAGAAAAAACAGATCAGATACAGATTTGGCCCAAAACACCATAATTTTTCCATTTGTGAAGATCTGCATGTCAAACCCTATCAAAGGCTTTCTAGATGTCCAAAGCAATGGACTGAGCTTCAACATTCTTATCCAGAGCTTGATGTCTGCAATTATCATCAGTAAATTAGCAGATGATATAGAGAACCAAAATCCATATTGTTTGTCTGAATGAAGGTCCTGCATCCTTAGATGCTTAACCAAAAAAATGGTAAAAGGCTAATAGGTCAATGGTTGGAAGGGCCAGATGAATTCTTAAAAACTGGAACAATAGATGAGGATTTCCAGCATGCAGGAAAGCAAGTGGCAACTGATGTCAAAAACAAACTTCAGTTTGTTGTTAACTGAGGCAGAGGATGGCTTGTTAGTTTTAACACCTCCAAAACTAAACAACTCTCTATTAATCATCTGAGAGACACTTTTCTGCATTCCATGATGGTTAAAAAATTTTCTCAAATCTATCTTACATATTTACAAGTCTACTATTTGTCCATGTTTAGAATATTGCTGCCACATATGGTCTGGTGCTCCCACTATATATCTAGAGATTCTTGATAAAATCCAAAGAGGAGTCAGCAATATTATTGATCCTTATCTGGCATCTTGGCTTCAGTAACTTTCCTACCACCATAATGTTGCCTCCCTGTGCCTTTTCTATAAATATTTTCATGGCAACTGTTTGGATGTGCTCTTCATCATAGTACCTAAACTTTTTTGAATTTAAGCACAGTACTAGACTGGAAACAAGGTCTCACTAATTTACACTTCAGTTGGCTAGATGTAACTGTAAGTCCTATGCTGACAGTTTCTTTACCCACACTTTTTGCTTGTGGACCTCTCTTCCAACTCCATGCTTTCCAGCCAACTTTGATCTTCAAAAATTTAGATGCAATGTCAATCACTTTCTACTGTCCACCTGATTCTTCTTCTTTTGTTCTTGCTCCATATTAAAGTTTTGTTTTCTAATTCTTCCACATCCAGTAACCCCTTGTGCCTTAGTGGATTTACTGCCTTGCTTTGGGTGGAATTGATCAAAAAAAAATTTCAAGTTCACCCTCTTAATTTTCTCCATCAGAACCAATGGTATTGTTAGGTTGGGTTGAGGGTCTAGGATGGCTCATAGTGAAATCTAAATCATACAAGAGTAAGAAAGAGAGAAAAATGCAATATTTGCCTTTTGGAAAAAACTTATAAAACACCACCATACCACCTGTAATTGAATGGAATTTCAAAAAGAATGGTGCTGACAGTGAAAATGGGATTGAAGGAATTTTTCCCATCCAGAGACACCATGGATAGTTAAGAAAAGATTAAGAAAAGATGTAATAAAAAGTGTACATGATGATACTCATTCTGGAATAACAGAAACACAAAAACAATTAAAATTGGAAGCATGGCGGCTTGGGTATTCACATGATGTAGAAAAATACATACAAAAATGCCCAAAATGTACAGAAAAAATCCTTGCATAACCAAGATACATTCATGGCCTAAAGAAAAAGAGCCATGGGCCCATGTTCATATGGATCATGCATAAGTTAAAGGCATACAACTATTTTTAATTTTTGACTCATTCTCTGGATGGCCTGACGTGGTTAATGGAAGGAAATAATAGCAAGGCTGCCATGGTAAAGCAAATATTATGAATGCTGTTTTTCAGAAATGTGGCCTCTGACAATGCACCAGAATTTTGTAATTAAACTTTGTGTTCGTGGTTAAAACAAATTTGGATGCCTCCCTTATAAAACACACCATACATACCACCTGCAATTTAATGGAATTGGAGAAAGAATAGTGCGGAAAATGAGATTGAAGGAATTTTTCCCATTCAGAGACACCATGGATAGTTACCTACCAAGACATGTACCAAGCATGTGGAATAATTCTATAACTCAGTTATTACTGAGTTATAGAATTATTCCACATGCTCGTAGAATGCAAACATAACACTTAGCATACTACAAAATATAGACAGCCCAGATGTAGTGAATAAAAGAAGTGAATTAATGGTCACATGTAGACATAAAAATAAAAGGGACATAATATGACTATAATAGCGACAAGTGGAGAGAATTTATTGACTCATTCTGATCAAATAAAATGTATTAAAGATTTTTCTTTTTTTTTTCTTTTTTGGTAATTCATTTTTTGGCCATGACAGAATACAACATGAAATGTTCAAATAATGAAATGTCCTGTGGCTCTTCAAATACGTAAGTTGAGACATTTTTCTCATACTCCTTATTCAAATTGGAAAGTTGATTTTATGGCATATTGACTGCTTTACATTGGTCATAGAGTACAAAATAAGTGATTTCAAATAGAATCTGACCAGATAACAAAACAGAGCATCTTGGTCAGGCCAAGTTCTTTTCAGTACCTACTCTTAATAATTTTCATTCTTTGTTTTTTTTTTTAACTGACTTTTGTTACTTTTTTTTTTTTCAACTGCAACACTCAGATGATTTTTGATTCATGCTATATTGTTTGTTTACATTGATGATAATTGTAACCCACTCATTCAATGCGTTGGTTTTCAGGTTCCTTCAGACCACTGACGTTACCATCTAGCTGACTCCTCAGTCATTAAAGCATTGCTAGTTTATCACTGGTATCATGATGATGAGCACTGTTCCACTTAATTTAGCTGCCATTTGTCTGCTTCACGACCATCCGGCAAGTTGTGTTTTTGGATAAGGATATTAGTCAGAGTCATTTGTGGTATAATGAGTACTTAGAATATCTGGTAATATTTTAAACAATACCAAATAAATCATTTAAAGAAGATATTTTTAGTCTTTATATTTTGATTCTGATGAATGTAGTTGTTATGCAATTCTGTTTATAGTCCTCTCGTAGATAGGTTTCTATGGAGAATAGAATATTTGTCTGGCTTTAATGAAAACCACTTATTCTGACCCAGAGGCATGTATTATACCTGACAGACCTTTAGCATACTACTATCCTGTTGTACCAAAGAACTTTTTCTTTATATTTTTTTTCATTTTTTTTTAGAAAAATAAAAGCAGATTTCTTCCTTTAATCACTATAATTGTTATAGTTGGGCATCTTGTTTGTTTGCTGGTTTAGTCTTTATAACAGACTATATAACAGGCGTAACAGCAAAATTTTCAGATTAAGCTTTGAAACATTGTATCTTAAAAATTATTAAAGATATCTTACTGGAGTTCTCAGAGGTTTTTATAACACTATTTGACTCTACTTTGAGCAATAAGAATGCATAATTACTCTCTAAGCTTAACAGAAGCTTTTTGATGAAATCGATCATAAACAAAAATGTTATGTTCATCATTAATTTATCATAGCTAAGGATCAGAAGCTCATGAAGTACTGAGATAAAGTTCAAATATATATATATATTATTCTAGGATCATTTTCCAACTTATTCAAGATGATCTTCACCCTCTTTAACCATCTAACTTTCTGTCCTGGAGTAACACAGTGACTCACAGGTTTCACATACGATTTCATTTTCAAGTCTTTTTTTCACTGCTCTTTGGATTGTCATAGCTAAAACTCCTCTCTCACATGCCAAACGTCTTATGGATTGAGTTGGATCTTTTCTAATTGATCTCTTTAGTTCTAAGTTGAAATGATGATTCCTCTTGCTGATCCAGTTTTTCTCCCTACTGTTCCCGCTTTTTTAAACTTATTCACCATTCTCTTGATTGTTCTTGAATGGACTTTGAAGATAAAAGCCAGAGTATGAATGTTGATACCATTACTGAAAGCCTGAATGATCTTTTTTCCTCGCCATTGCTCAGTTAGGAAGACAGTTGGTCTGACACAAAACACTTTTAACCTGCTCTCTTTTTAGCTGAATTACTCAAAGTGTTTTCCATTGAAAATGGTGTCAAGATGACTAAATGTCTTATCTGAAAACCTGGAAAAAAGAAACTTATATAGTTTAGTGGTTCTTTAGATATTAGACATTTTCTGGGATGGATAATTATGCTGCAACGTGTTACTGCATATTTGAACTATTTTGCTGTTACACCCAATATATATATATATTATATATATATATATATATATATATATATATATATATATATATATATATATATATATATGTGAAGTTATTCATCAGAATCTTTTTAAATACCTTTGGGAGCATGGTCAATTCAAATTCATCGTGAGGTGACGAGGTTGTTAATTGCATTGCAAATGCCAGTACTTCCTTTGTTTTGCTGTGTCATAGGTTGTGGAATGAAAGGGGAATAAAGCTTTGCACTAAAATCCAAATGTACAAAACTGTTGTTTTGTCAACTCTTTTGAATGGCTATAAAACTTGGATAGCTTATAGATAGTACACTAATCAATTAGATGTCTTCCATGAAGGTTGTCTCCGTACAATCTGTGGCCTAACGTTTGATGATCAAGTGTCAAATGCCGACCTTTCTGAGAAATACAAGATCGGTACCATCGAGACCTTCATAATGCAATGACAACTACGTTGTGCTGGCCATGTGGCAAGGATGAGTGATGATTGGATAACAAAAGTTCTTTTCTACAGTGAACTCCATAGTGGTCATAAAAATGTTGGTAGACCTTGGCACAGGTATAAAGATAAACTGAAGAGCAAACTTTCTTCTGTCAACATTCCATTTAAGAACTTTAAAGAGGTAGCTATGAAGAGATCAGAGTATCGTTCCAGCTGCCATTCAAAAATAATGCACCATCAAGAAGTAAGCATTATTCGACTGTGGGAAACACAAAAGTGAAATAAAACAGCTAACAGTGTTCCTGCTGCACTTGCATGCAATACTTTTTCCTGTACTGTTTGTGGTCTTTTGTGTAATTCTCGAGCCAGTCTCAAAACTCATGCCTGTCATGCAGATAATTAGTAAGTGGTTATATATATATATATCTATATATATATATATATATATATATAATAACAATAAAATAAAAATGGTAATCCATATGAAATTTCCAAGAGAATAAAGATCCAAGGAGAGATATGTAACAGACCAAAATTATTAATTAATGAATATCACTTAAAATACCATAGGTAATAATCTTTATTTCATGAAAGCTATAAAAATCGTTCAGGTCTGAAGGATTGGGACCTATTTTTTCAGACCTAAAGGCTTGAAAGGTATTTTTACAGCTTTCATGAAATAAAGATTATTACCTATGGTAATTTAATTGTTTGATATTCATTAATATATATATATATATATATATATATATATATATATATGAAGAAAAATATACGGAAAAAACAAACAAAAATCCTAATATGCAATTATGCTGTTTTAATGTTAATAATTGCATATTAGGATTTTTGTTTGTTTTTTCTGTATATTTTTCTTCATACTGTCAGATCTATATCCATATATTTGCTTACATATATATATATGCGCACACACATATATACAGATATTGATATATACAGATTCTGAAGGAAAGTAAATAAGTGAAAAAGAATTTGAGCTTCTAACTCTTCTAAGTAGTAACATTAAAAAATTTACATTTGTTTTCTTTTAAAGATGTGTCCCACTTGTATGGGAATGTGACGGTGAGGAGGACTGCCCTGGAGGAGAAGATGAAAGTAACTGTGGTGAGTTTTTTATAAATTCTTACATCGTATTTACAAGATTTTCCAGTGTCATTTTCAAAATCTACATTTTTAAACTTTAGCCATGCTCAGCAATTTGCATTTGATGTAAACTGAGTTATTTCCCCTGTGTACCATATTTGTTATTTTCTTTTGGTTTTTTTTTATCACATTTGCCCAAGGCAAATCAGTAAAGCCACTAAGACACAAGGAAGGTGTTACTGGATGTGAGACAATTAGAAAACAAAAACATTGTTAACAGGTGAGAACAACTGAAAAGTAAGACAGTTGATAGTGATTGACACTGCATTTAAATTTTTGAAGATTAAAGCTGACTGGGAAGCCTGGAACTGGAAGGATATTCTACAAGAGAGTAGTGTGAAAAATGAAAATATTAGCATAGAAACTGCAGTTACATGTAGCCTATTGAAATGTAAAATGAAGAAACCACATTGCCTATCTAGTACTGCGCTTAAAGTCTAGGCACCATACTGAAGTGCTCATCCAAACAATTATCATAAAAGTACTTATAAAAAGTCCATAGGGAGGCAACTTCATGATTGTGGAAAGTTACTGATGCTGAGCTGCCTGTCGGGACCAATAATATTGCTGATTCTTCTTTGGAATAATATCAGACCATATCTGGCAGCAATATTCTAAGCATGAACGAACGGTAGACTTACAGGTACGTAAGATAAATTCTGGATGGAAAAATTGTCTAGCACGACTCAGTGAATCAACTTTCTTAGCAGCTGACTTAGCAATGGCTTCAATATAGTCTTTCCACTTCATGTCAGCTGAGAATGTTAGCCCCAGAAGGTGCAACGAGTCAATTTCTTGGAGGCTAGCATCAGCCATGCTGATGGAAGGCAGAAAAAAGTCTCTTAGATAATCAATAGAGAGCATTTTAGTTTTGGAGGCATGAAAATTAACAAGCCATTGTTTGTCCTAGTTAATAACAATCAGTAGATTATTTTTGACATGAGCTGTCAATTTGACCTTATCAAACTGATCAGTGTCAATATCGAGACAGGAGTAAATGTACATGTCATCAGTATAGATCGCAAGTTGAGAGTGGATGTCATTGGAAAGTGTGTTAATGAAAATTAAAAACAAAGTAGGCCCAAGAATAGAACCCTGATTTGGTGAGAGCCACTTTCTTTAATGGACTGCTATTGGTAAACATCCAGCAGCATCCATTGCAACTCACCTGTTTCTTATGTAACATACCATCCTGGGAAACAAATCACTGCAGATGAAGTACTTTCAAGAATGTGCAGCATCTTAATTTGCAATGAAGGCCTCCTTAAGATACACAAACATCTATGCCATGGAGTGTAACAAGAATGCTACATTTAGTTTGAATTTGAAACCTAACTTTCTTCATGGAAGATGTAAAAGAATCTGTAAGGAACTGCTGGATATGAGCTGAAGTAAAATCAAAATTCTATAGAGCTAAAACAGGAATGGTAGTATAAATTACACAACTGTATGAGAGGCTTCCCTTGGATTTCAAGTCTCCATTTTTGTCTAAAACTAAAAACAAATATCTATGAACAATAATAGATGAATTCTTGTGTTTCAAATTCCTGATTCCCTGTCCTGATGTAACTGAGGAAACAGTAATCCATGCTTTCTGTGCCATCATCTCTATATTTGGTTTAGCCGACTATATTTAAAGACCGATCAAACATCACTATGGCTGATCAGGTCAGACAGTTCCTACATAAACAAGGAGTGGCCACTAGTAACACTACCCAATATAATCTGCACAGTAAGGGTCAATTTGAGAACTTTTCAATTAGCAGCCAGACCACATGAACTGCATTGACTTTTGGGAAAGTCTAATACTGACAGCCTCCCACACCATAAGATCCCTACAATACAAGATGACAATTGCGACTCCACACAAAAGATTCATTTAATTCCTTTAAAGTTAATCTACAGGCAATTACATCATTGCCATCATGGTTGTCACAACCAGCAAAATTGCTATTAAAATGGCACATATGCCAGAATAAGCAAGAACCACTAAGAAATAGAGTGTAATTGTTAGAAGCAAATCCTCCATATGCCTTAATACACCAGCTCGACAGAAATCAAGATGCAGTCACTCTAAGAGGCCTCTCCTTGGTGAAGGACGTAAACCAGAGACCTGCCAAGAGCCCATGATACTCTAATCAATGACTCCAGGGATTGATTACAATCTCCTAGGCTTAGATCTTTGTGGTATGAATTGAGTGCAGACGTGGGATGGATGTCACAGAAATGGGACCATCATACCACTGATGATACCGACACTGAGGGTGGAACTAATCTATGAGCAGAGAAGGCTGAAATGTAATAAAATGAGGCCCTCCAATGCCAAATCTCAGAAAAGCAGCAGTTCTGAGACATCCAAAAGAGAGGAAGAAAACACAGAAAATCCTAACAAAGTTGAACCACCATGATGACCACAGAGAAGATGCAAGAAGCCCAAGCATCTAAAAGTATCTGGTACAAGATAAACAATAACAGTAAAAGAATGTGATAATAATGAACCTCTTCCATCCGAGCCATTTCAATAATAACCACTCTTTATAGAAGCTGTTTAATTAGTTATAATTCAGTTTAGCTGAATAAAGTAAGATTCTTAAGATGATATTCAGCATTCTTTATTCATAACACTTATTATTATGAGCAGGTTTTTACATGTCCGTCTTTTGATGTATTCTGGTGATTTTCAGTTGATTATTTAGCAACAACAGTAAACTAATCCCTGGCTTTGTGTCCAGTAAAATCCTATTCATACTGGTGTAGTATTTACAACTAGCCTCTGTTGATTGATATTCATATAACTCCATGATTTCTACTATCATCTCTAAACTTGATCCCTCTAAAGTATGTGGACTTAACGGTATCCCTATAATAATCCTTAAGATATGTGCTCCTGAGATGACTACTCTTCTCTTTAAAGTTTACAATAAGTAATAACATTTTTATTTTTTTATTTTTTTTTTTGGTAATTACTTTTCTGGCATCAACAATAAGTTGCTTCAAAATGTTCGAAAGATCAAATGTTCTGCACATTTCAAACTAGGTAAGTTGAGACATTTTTCTCATACTCTTTATTCTAATTGGAGAGTTGATTTTATGGCACATTGACTGCTTTACATTGGTCACAGAGTACAAAATAAGTGGTTTTAAAATGACCAAATGACGAAACAATTTTTTTGAAAGAGCATCTTTGTCAGGCCAAGATCTTTTCCAAACATACTCTTAATAATTTTTCATTCTTTGTTTTTCTTTTTACCTGACTTTTGTTATTTTTTTTAATTGCAGCACTCAGATGATTTTTGATTCATGCTATATTGTTTGTTTACATTGATTATAATTGTAGCCACTCACCCACTGGGTTGGTCTTCAGGTTCCTTCGGATCACCGTGGTTACCATCTAGCTAACTCGTCATTTTTTTAACGCATTGCTGGCTTGTTGCTGGTGTCTTGATCATGACTACAGTTCCACTTGATTTAGCTAGCATTCGTCTGCTTCATGACCATTCTCACCTCTGTCACATTGTTTTTGATCTAAGAGGGTGAGAAGATCACTGATAAAATAAACTGAAGTGAAGAACAGGTCAACAGTGATGAGTAACACACAATAAAGAATTCTTTGAAATAAAAAATTGGCTTGAGTTAAAAATGTAGCAAAGATTTGGTTTTATATATGATTTGTTATATACAGCAGTTTTAACTCTTGACACTTCTGTTATAATCAAATGACACTGCGATCCCCTTTTGGAGTTTACATCCTGTGTTAGTAGTATTTTAAATTTCTAAGTTCTGGTCTTCAGGGCTGGCACAAGGACTTGTTCATGAGGTCTCGTCAATTGATGTGGATTCCAGCAGCTGTAACATGGGCACTCTGTAAGTTGTCCAAACCTCCAGCTTATATGGAATCCTGCATCTAGCAGGTGTGGGTATGACCAGCATCTGGGGTTCAGTTATCTCCCATCCTTAGCATCAACCGGTTTCTATAATCCCATATTTGCTAAATATGTTTACTCAAGTAATTTTTCAAATTTAGTTGTTTGTTCAGAACCTTTTTGAGAGTGGTCAGTGGAATCAAGCCACATCTTAACTCCAACTGTCTTCACTTTTCATCTCACGCTATTGTTCCATACAGACAGTGCTGATTTCTCTCTCCCTTCTCCCACCTTCTCAGCATCCAACCTCTGCTCATTCCCAAAGGCTGGTATAACTGTCTTTGTGACAAATCCAAACTTTTAGAATGCATAGGTGAAAAGAGGATTTCCAGTAATTAATCTTTCTGTCGTGTCGTGTATATTGCTAAGTAAGCGTTCGACCTCTGTTCTAGTTGGTGTCCGTAAATTCGGCTGACTCAGGTTGCATATTCCTATTTCTTTTGTACCACATCTTTTGATTTGTGGCATATGACATAGTTAAAGGGGACCTTAATTGTCTGCTCATTAAGGCAGTTGGACTTTCCGGCCTGCCTGCATGTGGAATTGTTCTGTAACTTAATAATAGTCTTGGTAGAAAAGCATCGATTTCCTCCTTCTGTTGCAAGCATGCTTTTATGCCCTTCTTTACCGTCTGGACTATCCTTTCTGCTGCCCCATTACTTTGAGGGTGGTAGGGAGGGGTCTTGTAAGGTCTGCATCCTATTTTTCTTAGCCATTCATGCAAATCAACATCCACAAATTCTGGTGCGTTATCAGTCACCAATGTTCTCGGTGTCCCATTCCTCGAAAATATTACTCTTAATATTTGTTTTACGGTGGTACTTTTTTTATCAGGTACTCTCACCACTTCAGGCCAACCTGAATATGCGTCTACTAATATTAATAATAGTCCTATCCCATTGACATAGGCATGGTCCATGTGTACTCTGCTCCATGGTTCTACTTCTCGGGGCCATACATGTATTTTCTTTTGCTTAAAATTCCTGAGTTCTGTGCATTTTTTGCATCTTTTTACATAGTCTGCTATGTCTCTTGAGTACCCTGGCCACCACGCTTCCAATTTTAATCTTCTTTGCATATCTATAGTTTTCTATAGTCATTTTATGTCTAATTTCTTTGAATGGTCTTTCAGCCATTGAACAATTTCCCCAGCGATTCTGTTTTATCCTCGACATTATTCTATTTAACACTGGGTCATTTGTAGTTTCAGTAGCCATTTTATCTACAGATATTACATCGGTTTCTACAAGGTGCAAGAATGTGTCTTCAAATTCCTCATCGTTTTTGTCCTTCTCCTCTCTATAAAACCTCAATCTAGATAAGGCATCAACGTGCGGTATCGTATTCCCTTTAACATATTCAATGTCAAAGTCGAACGCCATCAGTCTAATCACCCAATGTAATATTCTGGACGTTGTAACTTTTGGTAGCTCTTTTCTTGGGTTGAAAATAAATTCCAGTGGTCTGTGATCACTTTTCAACAAGAATTTTTTTCCCATCAAAAACTGTCTTGCTCTATCCGTTGTCCACACTATGGCTAGTGCCTCCTTTTCTATATTCGAATAATTGCATTCAGTTGTTGTTAATCTCCTCGATAAGTACATTATGGGATGCCCATCTTGTGACAAAATACCAGATATGGACTGCTCACTAGCGTCAGTAGTTAGAATTATGTCCTTCTTAGGGTCAAAAATTTGTACTATTGGCTTTTTTGCCAGAATCTGTTTTAAGTTTTCAAAGGCTTTCTGTTGGTGTTCTAACCAAATGAATTCCACATTTTTTTTTCTTAACTTAGCAAATGGTTCTGTCAACTCATTATATTTTGGTACATATTTTCTATAAAATTTACCAAACCTAAGAAGGACTCCAACTTTTTTATTTTTCGGTGTAGCAACTTTTAGAATTTTCTATTAGTACTTTATCTGAGAGATCCTTCCTTTGATATTGAGTAACCCAAAAATGATATTTCATTACTGTTGGTTTACACTTTTTTGTATTTATTGTCATACCAGCGTCTCTTAGCGGTTCAGTATATTTTCAGTTTTTTCTTTAAATCATCTTCATTTAAATCTCCAACACATATATCGTCTTGATAACAGATGGTATTTTCAACATTTCCTATTACTTTTTCAATAGCTTTTTTGAAAAATTGCACTTTTGTTTTTATGCCATACGGCATTCTTTTTTTTCCACCTTAACAGGCCTATAGGTGTGTTTTTATGGTCGTCACTTCTTTAAAATTTTCATTTATCGGTATTTGGTGGTAAGCTGATTTTAGGTCTATCTTCGAAAATACTTTCATTCCAGCAAGTTTATGTAAAGCTACTTCCACATTCGGAATAGGGTACGAGTCAGCACAAACTTTATGGTTCACCCTTATTTTATAATCTCCACAAATTCTCAGGTCACCATTTTTTTTTTTCAATACCACAATGGGTGATGCCCATTTACTTCCTTCTGGAGGGGCAGGTTCTAATAACTCTTCCTTTATTAGCTTTTCGCAATTTAGCTATTACCAACGGTAATAAATGCACTGGTATTTTTCTCGCTTCGTAGTAGGAGGGGAAACATTTTCTTTTAATTTCAGGCTAGCTTCATAATTTTTTAATTTTCCTGTTTTTTCTATTTCTATCTCATTAATCAACTTCGTTGAATTTATTTTTAACACGTCATTCCCCAGTAGTCCATGCATTTTTCGGCAATTTGTAACTATAATGGGTACTATTTCATATTTTTCTTTTAGTTCTATTGAACCTTCAAAGTAACCCATAATTGCTATAATCGAGCCATCAAACTGACGTAGTTGTACGTTGGTTTTTTAAAAACGGTTTTCCATTTTTTCCCCACAAATTTCTGGGTACTATCGTGACCTCACTACCTGTGTCGATTTGCATTTCGACAATACAGTCGTTGATTTTCACTTTTATTTTTGTATCTCCGTTCTTAGATCCAGTATTTTGTATATTATCCTTTTTTACATTAAAAATCTGTTTATTTTCATTCTCTACTCTTTCCACATTTTCCGTTTTACATACTTCTTTGAAGTGATTTTGTTTTAAACACTTTGAACACATTTTTCGAAAGGCTGGGCATTTTTCTTTTTTCATTTCATGAATTTTTCCACAGTACGCACAATTTTTTTCTTTTTGTTTGTACCGTATATGTTTCAGTCATTATTTCTTCGTAGGATTTATTTTTATTTTGGTTGTAGGTATGTATTAATTCTTGCTGTTGTATAAATTCTATACACATATTCAAAGGCATGTTTGTAAGTTGTAACTGTTCCATTAACTTATATCTATGTGCTGAATTATGCATACCTTCAATTAATCTTAGTTGGATTAATTCTTCTTCCGTTGTCTGCTCCCTGTTCCTAGTTTTTTCAATTCACAGTATTTACTCGCACTTTTTAACCGTGTAAATATTTTACTATCGGTTCATCCACTTCCTGCTTCATTGCCATAAACTTGGTCCTTTCTGCAATCACCAGTCTTTTCTTTGGCCTCATGTTTCCTTAATAACCTGACTTATTTTTTTCGAAAGTCATTTCTTCTAGTTCTCAAGGGTAAACCATTGTAGCAACTTTCATAATCGCTTCACAACCAGCGGTAGCCATAAACAAGTCGGTGATTTCATTTTCCCCTCCTCTGTTTTTGTCTAAGTAAGCGTTCGACCTCTGTTCTAGTTGGTGTCCGTTTATCATATGAGCTACCTGCTCATATGCAAATTATACTAATTTGCATCTCACTACACTTTCCTTATCAGCTTGTCTCACACTCTGGTTGTTTTAGGTGATTTCCCAAAGCCAAGGATTGACTATAAGATAATCAGAGCCAATCTGGATGGCCCCAACCAGCCAATCTCAAGTTTTTTTTTCCAACCAGTCATCATGGGTGTGAAAGATAAGGAAAGAAAAATATTCCCCATGTCTTTGATAATAATAAAAAATGATCTTTCTCTGCTTATGAGTTTCTCAGTCAACAAGACCACACAGCCAGTTGCCTATGGACAGGACCCAAAGAGTGTGAGTTCAATATTCGGTTAAGGCAGTGGAGAACTTTCAGAGGGAAATTAACAGGAGATAACTGATAACTGACATCCATTAAACATGACATGTAGAACTAGAACAGTCTACCTCAGTGAGCGAAATAAAGGGTTCAGTTCGACATTCCAACCACCTGGAGAAGGCCAGAGTGTACAACAGCCAAAACGTTGTAATAAATATGGCGACAAAGATGAGGACAATAGTCCAAATAATGTAAATAATGTGTTACTGAATTCTATCAAGTTAACTTTAGATTCGATTCTTTTTCAAACTGTTTTTGATTTTATTTTTTTTAAAACAATTTTTAATGCTTTTCGTTTTTTAATTTTCTTCTCACTTTTCAATACAATGAGTATCCTGAGAATTTCAAGAATTAGTTAGTAGTCTTGTTCCTCTTCATTTTTCTTTCTTTCCCTTTTGTTTTTTGTTTGATTAACTCCCTGAGGTCCCAGTATCAAAATAATGAATACACTCTGTCAGAAATTAAAAATTTAGAATATTGTAATATTTATTACTAGAATTCCAGATGATGAGAAACACAAAGAGAATACACAAAGTAAAATCAAAGATAAGGATATTAGTCAGAGTCATTTGTGGAAAATGAGTACTGGGAATATTTTAAACAATACCAAATAAAATCATTTAAAGAAGATATTTTTAGTCTTTATATTTTGATTCTGATGAATGTAGTTGTTATGCAATTCAGTTTATAGTCCTCTCGTAGATAGGTTTTCTATGGAGAATGGTGCTTATGATGAGCACTGAAATTGTACCCTTGTCCACATATCAGGCATGGTATTATCCCTCTTGGAGAGAAAATTTCATAGGTTTTGCACCATGTTTTCGACTGCCTTGCTAGTTTATGCAAGAGATGACTTACTCTTTGTTGGCAGTGAGTTATGTGATAACATAAATCTTTGGGCTTTTTAACTAATAATTTCTATAAAGGCTTAATAATTTGGCCATTCTAATGCTTATCATCCATGATAATCAAAAGTAGATCATATATCTAAAGAAGATTCTTTTTCCCCTCCCTCTCTCTCTCTCTGAACAAGGTTTGTCTGATTTTAATGAAAACCATTTATTGTAACCCAGAGGCATGTATTATCCCTGCCAGACCATCAACATGCCACTGTCCTGTCATAGAAAAGAACTTTTTCTTCATATTTTCATTATTTTAACTTGAATTTCTAGTGTCTGAATTCATAAAAGCAGAGTTTTTCCTTTAATCATTATACTTTGCTGTCTTGTTTGTTTGTTGATATGGTTTTTCATTTAGACTATATATATATATATATATATATATATATATATATATATATACAAATATAGATAACTATACTCGTTTCGAAAAACCCTCGAATTTCTGATTTGACAATAATCAAATCAATCTTGAGGGAAAAAAAGTTTTAAAAAAGAAAGAGCTTGAAACATGAAAGTCTGTCGCAAAAAATCGCACTGATACAGGTTTGAAGCCCAAAGAAAAAAAAACCCGATACAAGTAAACAACTAACTAACAAAAGAGATCAATACAACCGTAGAGCAGACCTAGATAAACCTAGTGAGCCAGACAAACCTACCTAGGTTTCACCTAAACGGATCGTCAGGGAAAGTATATATATATATATATATATATAGTGACAATTGGAAAACATTCATGAATGTACATTGTCCTGAAAATATATCCGATTATGTATTTTGGCATTTAGGTTTCATCAGATTGAAAGTGAAGAAATGAGTTTGTGTGTGTGTATTTGTGTATAATTTATTAATATTTATTTATTTAATTATGAAATCTTATTATTATTTCCCAAATTGGGATTGCTCGCATCTTAAAAAAGAAATAAAACAAATAACTTTAAAAAAAAGTCATTAATATTTTTGTTCTTTGCTTTAAGTTTCTGAGTCAAGAGATAGAATCCTTAGGAATGGGTAGAAAATAAAGATTTGTTTTTTATCTATGCATTCTCCATGTTGACAGTATATTACAATTTTGTTATATTTTTTTGCTTTTGATCTGATGAAGCCTAAATGGCAAAATGCATAATTGGATATATTTTCAGGACCATATACTTTCAGGAATGTTTTCCAATTGTCAATAATTTATAAATCTGTTAGGATCATATACCCCATTTTTGTAACATATATATTGTTATATACCATACCTATGAATACTAATGGGTATGTTCCAATCCTCATAAATATGTTGGACACTATTATAAGTTAGGGTAATATGCTGTCTAAGTAGTTCACCACTAGCAGTGGTTTACCTATTTCACACTGTTGACGAGTATTGTATTTTGTTGATATTATAAAGATTACCATTTCATTTCCAACCTCCATTTTGGTTATTCCTCATTCAGTAACCTTTTGTAGGTTCCAGCACACACACATATATATATATATATATATATATATATATATATATATAGATAGATAGATAGATAGATAGATAGATGTAGAAATATGCAGATACTGAAAGAAAGTCAATAAGTGAGAAAGAATTTGAACTGGCAACACTTCTGAATAGTAACATTAAAAATTTACATTTTTTTCTTTTAAAGCTGTATTCCACTTACATGGAAATGTGATGGTGAAATTGACTGCCAAGAAGGAGAAGATGAAAGTAACTGCAGTGAGTTTTTCATAAAATTATTACATCGTATTTACATTTTTCGGCATCATTTTCAAATACTAAATTTTTAAACTTTAGCAATTTGCATCTTATGTAAACTGAGTTTGTTATTTCCATCTTGTTATTTTTTTTAATTGCCTTCACCCAAAGCAATGACATAGAGCCACTAAGACAAGGCTTTATCAGGCTTAGAAGAATTAGAGAACAGAAAAATTGCTCATGTCAAAAACAATTGAAGATTAATCAGGAGGAGAGTAGACTGTGATTGACATCAATCCCAAAAAGCAGATCAAAGCCTAGCAATGTTCCATCCTCAAGCAGGACTTCAGTGTTCATGGTTCAAGCATGACCAACATTTAATTTGACTGTGCCATATCTATGGCACTATAGCGATTTCTCATCAGCTGCTAGCATCTTCACCTCCCAGCATTGCCAAAGGCGGCATACAGATCTGCCCACTAGTGTCTGCAATCAGCCAGAGTCTACAAAGGCTACACACTACTGTTCATCTACAGGCACTTTGATGACCAGTAGTGCAGTGTTATTTACTTGTTTGGGGAGGAGAATGGCATGACATCTCCTCCCCTGAGCCAGTTCCCTGGCACTCAGATGAGATGTGTCCAACCTTGTTGCAACGCAAGCAATGCACCACACAGCATGATCTGCACACCTGGTTATCTGTCCTCTCCAGGCATCCTTGTTTACAGTCCTTAGCAAAATGATTGGATTGAAAGACACAACAGACACTTCAGGTTTTTGGTTATTGGTCATAATGGCCCTTGCCTGGGTAAGAAGTTGCTCTAAGGCCATAGTTTCTGGTCTGGATGATAGTCTAAGTATCCATTTAACATCCTGTGGGAGCCTAGACATGAATGCACATACCATCCATCACTCAGACAACTGTCCACCAAACAGCCAAGCCAAGCACTGTAGCTTCACCAAAAATTAATTGACATTTTCTCCAGTATGAAGTCATCTTGCCATGAACTGGTCAAACACATTGAAGGAGTTTGTTGCATATGCAGTCATGAGGGATAGCTTTATCTCCTCTGTGTCTGACCTCTGCTCCTTAATTAGTTGCTGGTATATGGCAAAAGCTACCACCTCAATTGCAGCAGCAGGACATGCTTGATCCTCTTCATATTGAACAGTTCACATACCAACTTTATATTTTCAATCCACTCTATGATTGGTAAATCAGTGGCAACATCACTAAATTCAGGGATCAGGTGGATATCAAATGCCTTTTCTACCATCTCATAGAAATATTCAGAACTGCTGAAATAGATTGTTGCTAAAAGAGTTTAAACTTTTCCTTTCTCTTCGAGCAAACATTTCCCAAAATCCATTTCCTTTCAAAAACTCAACTGACCGTAACAAGTGTAGCCTGTTCAACATATCAGTAGCCATTCTGCTTGTTGCCTCATTCTCCCCATTTTTATCTGTTCATTCACAGCCAAAATATGGAAAAGATAATCTTATGAGAAAATATCTCACTCAGGGATGATGTATCCATTTTAAATATGTAACCCATGAAGCTGTCATTTATTGTAATTTGGTCAGTTTACAAAATAAATGGCATGTTTGAAGCTGTATTTGCGCTGGAGGTAAGTCATTTCTTCTAGCATTGCAAAAAAAAAATGCATGCAACCCTGAGCCTCTTTGCCTTCTGTGGTAGTTCACTACACAGGTCAGGACCAATAATATTACTGTTTCTTCTTTGGATTTTATCAAAGATCTCTAAATATAAAAAATACTGGACTATATGTGTCAGCAATAATCCTGAACAAATGGTAGACATAGATAGGTAAGAAATTCTGGATGGAAAAATTGTCTAGCACAACACAGTGAATCATTTTTTTTTGGCAGCTGACCTAGCAATGGCTTCAATATAGTCTTTCCACTTGATGTCAGCCAAAAATATTAGCCCAAGAAAGTGCAACAAGTTAATTTCCTCGAGGTTCACATGAGACATACTGATGGAAGACAGAAATTAGTCTCTTAGATAATCAATAGAGAGCAGTTTAGTTTTGGAGGTGTCAAAATTAACAAGCCATTCTTTGTCCCAGTTAATAACAGCCAGTAGATTGCTTTTGACATCAGCTGTCAATTTGACCTTATTGAACTGATCAGTGTCAGTATGGAGACAGGAGTAAATGGTTGTGACATCAGTATAGATAGAAAGTTGAGAGCGGATGTCATTGGAAAGGGTGTTAATGAAAATTAAGGACAAAGTAGGGCCAAGAACATCCCTGTGAGACACCTAATTTGAATTTAGTTATATCTCTTTGTCATGCAGATTTCTCCATGCCAACAAAATGAACAACTTGCATGAATTAATTCACTTTTTTTATTAAGTCTTACTGTGATAATAATGAAGTATCCCATCCTGTTCTCTCTAAAGTCTACAATAAGTAGACTTGCTACATCTTGCTTTTCTACATGTTGGAAATACTCTTCTGTACTTTCAGTCTTTAAGAATATAGGCAATCATTTTGAGTCTTCTATTGGTCTATTAGCCTCCTACGGCTTTTTTAACAAAGTTCTAGGGCTTCTAATTAGCTATGAATTGGTGAAGCATCTCACTTCACAGGGTCTTCTTTCAGATACGCAATATTACTTCTCTAGGTCAAGATTTAGATAAGAATTGTGAAGTTTGGGCTGTTGTTTTGAATATCTCAAAGGCATTTGACAGGGTTTAGCATGATGTTCTTCTTTACAAGTTTAATGGTTAGGATATTTCTAGACAAATTTTGGAACTGATTCAACCTTTCTTATCAAATCCCAAAGTGTAAGTTGCCATGAATGGCCACCCTTCTAGATACTTTTGCAATAATGCAGGTGTTCTCCAAGGCTCTATCCATGGATCTGTCATCCCTAATTTTTATCAATGACTTTCCTGATGTCATTATGCTGAGGACACAGCATGTTTTAACAGTAAATCTGATTGGTTTGATAAGGTCAAAATTGCAGCTGATCTCAAAAATAACCTACAATCTGAGGCAAGAAATGTTTTGTTAATTTTAATGCATCCAAAACAAAACTACACTATTTTAATATTAATGTTCTTGGGATAACATTTTTGGCTGACATAAAGTGGAAAGATTATATTGAATCAATTGCTAGGTCTGCTGCTAGGACAGTTCATTCACTGTATCATGCTAGACAATTTTTCTTGCCAGAATCTATCACGTCCTTTCATAAATCTACCATTTGTCTCTGTTCTGAATATTGCTGTGATATCTGCTATGGTGTTCCTGTCATGTTTTTAGAGATTCTTCATAATTTATGAAGAAAACTTTGCTATATTATTGGTCATGACTTGGCACCACAGCTTCAGTCACTGTAACTTAGCTTCCCTGTGCATTTTCTATAAAATTTTGTGTAGTGAACGAGATAATCAGGTACCCCGGAAAAAAGGTCGTGTTTTGTGTGCGATCTGCCGAAGAAGGAAAATTCAGGCATTTTTGGCTACGGCGTTTGTTGGAGAGTGAGTTATTTTCTGACTGGTTACACATTATTGATTTAAGATAGTACCGGCAATCGAGTTTTCAGCATTTCTTTCTGCCCCGATACTCGAGTCTGGACTTAGTGATTTTTTTTGTGTTGTGAAAGTAACAAATTTGCTTTGAGATTGCTTACACTTCAAGCTATTTCAGCAAATCAAACCGTTCGTGAGTGACTGAAATAGCTTGAAGTGTAAGCGTTCTCAAAGCAAATTTGTTGCTTACAACACAAAGAAAAATCACTAAGTCCAGACTCGAATATCGGGGAAAAGAAAGAAATGTGGAAAAAACCCGATTTGCCAGTACTACCTTAAATCACAATGCTTGTAACGAGTCAGGAAAATAACTCACTCTCCAACAAACGCCGTAGCCAAAAACGGCTTGACGCTATTAAGAAAGAGGTAGAGCCAGTAGGACATGTCTGTGTAACATCAGCGAGCAACCATAACTCAGATTTACTAAAATCTGTGCATTGCCAAAGCTGACATCCCAGTGTAAAACGGACCCTATATTTCGTGAGGCAGATTTATCCCTCCGTATCCAAAGCTGCTGTCAGGGCAGTGGTCAGAACAGAAAAGTGCGATTGACTGGCGGCGCCCTGTACTAGATTATAGAGATACTGCTTAACCCAAATGGGATTCGGACTCAATGTGGCGCTGGCCATCATGAAAGCCATCGTGGATGCTGTGTTACCCCAGGATAAGACAATTCGTCAAGCGACGTCAGCCTACATTGACGACATCTACATCAACACAACCTTAGTACCCGCTTCACAGGTGAGAAAGCATCTTGCTGACTTTGGGCTCGAATGTAAGAACCCAGAACGACTGGAGGATGGTGCTCGGCTTGCAGGTCTGGGGGGAGCACAACATGCTTTACTGGAAACGTGGAAGCGAGCTCCTGGACATTCCCAAACACATGACCCGACGCAGCGTGTTTTTGTTATGTGGAAAGCTGGTGGGACATTTTCCCGTGGGCGGGTGGATCCGCATTGCAACTGCATTTATTAAATGTAGGGTGACTGCTGTCACTTCCGGCTGGGATGACACAACAAATGATGCTCCCCTTAGACACATGATAGCGGAAGTCATTACTAGGGTGCGTCAAGATGACCCCGTACGTGGTAAATGGTGCGTTGACGGATGTGAATTTAACGTCTGGGTCGACGCGAGCTCCCTTGCAACAGGAGTGTCTCTTGAAGTAGGTGACACTGTCGTGGAAGATGCGTGTTGGTTGCATCCCGAGAAGGATACGCAACATATCAACCTGTCAGAATTAGACGCCGTTATCAGGGGAGTCACCGCGGCCCTTCAATGAAATGCAAAGGTATTGCATTTATTCACGGATTCCGCATGCGTGTATAAGTGGATATCAGACACTCTTACGGGGAAGGCTAGGATACGTACAAGGGCTGCGAGCGAGATGCTCATTCGAAGGCGGATAGACACACTGGGAAAGTTGGTAAGTGAATACCACTTATCCGTAGACATACAGCTGGTCAGATCATAGCAGAACAAGGCCGATACTTTAACAAGGGTACCCCAAAAATGGCTTGACGCTATTAAGAAAGAGGTAGAGCCAGTAGGACATGTCTGTGTAACATCAGTGAGCAACCATAACTCAGATTTACTAAAATCTGTGCATTGCCAAAGCGGACATCCCATGTAAAATGGTCCCTATATTTCGTGAGGCAGATTTATCCCTCTGTATCCAAAGCTGCTGTCAGGGCAGTGGTCAGAGGATGCAAGGAGTGTCAGTCCATCGACCCAGCACCTGTGCAATGGCAAAAAGGACTAGTGAGTGTAAGCAAGGTGTGGCACCGTGTTGGAATTAACATCACCCATTATAACGGACATCACTATTTAACTCTGATTGACTGTGGCCCAACCCGGTTCACTATTTGGCGGCGTCTGCGTCGACAGGATTCCGCAAGCGTCATTGACCACTTGGGGTCATTGTTTTTTGAACGTGGACCTCCGACGGAACTCCTCACTGACAACGACACTGCATTCCGCAGTGGACTATTCAAAGATTTTGTGGATTCGTGGGGAGTACACCTCAGATTTCGCTGCGCATATGTCCCATCAGGGAATGGCATAATCGAGCGATGTCATTGGAGCATCAAAAGAATCGCTGCTAGGAAGCAGTGTTCCATAATGGAGGCAGTGTATTGGTACAATGTTACTCCGAGAGACAATAATGTATCGCCCTCAACTGTGCCAACCAACATGATTTATCAGTACAAAGTCCGGCTACGAGACATTGATGCAACGCGTTCAACTGAACGGATAAATGAACGTGCGCCGTATGACTTGGGCGATCGCGTGTGGGTGAAATCTCCACATAGCCAGTGTACAACCCGGTACCGGGTGGGGCATGTCACTGGACTAAGTAACTCGCGTTCTGTGCTGGTTGACGGCATACCAAGACACATAAAGGACTTGCGTCGCTATGTAGGTACAGATATGTTAACAAGTGACACTAGCAGTGGGTGCTCAGAAAGTGAACAAATAATTACCATCGGAGGTAGGGCTAGCACCTCTTCAGATGGTGAAGACTCTGTGTGTGAGGTTGTCAGACCAGAAGAAGAATCTTCAGAACATTCTTCAGATGATGAAGACTCTGCGCATGAGGTTGTCAGATCAGAAGAAACCTCAGGACATAACACACAATCTCCTCCAACAGTCGCCCCGCTCTGGAGAAGCTTAAGAATAAAGAGGCCCGCCCATGAGTGTCACTTATGTGACAGGGGGGAGTGTAGTGAACGAGATAATCAGGTACCCCGGAAAAAAGTTCGGGTTTTGTGTGCGATCTGCCGAAGAAGGAAAATTCAGGCATTTTTGGTTACGGCGTTTGTTGGAGAGTGAGTTATTTTCCTGACTCGTTACAAGCATTGTGATTTAAGATAGTACCGGCAAATCGAGTTTTCAGCATTTCTTTCTGCCCCCGATACTCGAGTCTGGACTTAGTGATTTTTCTTTGTGTTGTGAAAGTAACAAATTTGCTTTGAGAACGCTTACACTTCATTTTGATAGTAATTATTCTGATGAACTTTTTTCTTTGGTATCTAGATTTCATGAATTTATGTACAGTACTTCATTGGTTGTTAGGTTTCATCATTTTATAGTTGAAATGGCTAGATGTAAGTGTAATTTCTATGCTGATATTTTCTTCTCTCCTTCTTCTCAATTCTGGAAACACTCTTCCAGATTCTTGCTTTCTAGTCAACTTTAATCTTCAAAGATTGAAATGTAATGTCAGTCGACATCTTGTGTCTCAATTCCTGTTCTTTTATTTTTCTCTCTCTTTGAAAATGCTTTTATTTCTCATATTCTCTCACACTTAGCAACCCATTCAGTCTTAATGGCTTTATTCCCTACCTAGTGGATGAAATGATTAAAAAACAGAAAATGTATTATTATCTATAAAAGTATTGTTTTATTGATTGTATATGTCAACAGTATGCTTTTCCATGTCTGATCAGAGTGTAGTATCTGCTCAATCCTTGGTTCTTTGGAATCAGTTAGGTTTTTAATCAAGAAAGCTACATAAGTAATATTCAACAGGAAAGAATTGGGGAAAGGTGAGGGAGAGATGGAAAGGAGAATAGAGAATGAGAAAGAGTAACCATTGCAGGTAATGCTAGAGAAAAATGAAGAAAAATCCAGGTGAAAGCATAGAATTAGAATCTGGATTTTAGACAAGAAACCTACATCATAATATTAAGCAGGAAGGAATTGGTAAAAGTGAGATAGAGGAGGAAGGGAGAAAAGATGGCAAGAAAGATGCTTACAGTGACTGTTTTTTTATTGTCTTATATGGTAATTTCTAATGAAATTTTACAAAATATAAAAGATAACATAAGTAACATTATTTAAAGGTTCAAATGTCAATAGTAAATGTATTAAAGATTTTTCTTTCATTTTTTTTTGGTAATTCCATTTTTGGCCTTGACATAAGACCTTAGGAAATGTTTACAAGATCAAATCCCCTGCGCCAATTCAGACAGGTAAGTTGAGACACTTTTCTCATACTCCTTGTTCTAATTGGGAAATTGTTTTATGGCACATTGACCACTTTACATTGATCATAGAGTACAAAATAAGTGGTTTTAATCTGATCTGATCTGATCTGAATTTTGTTTTTGAAAGGACCTGGTCAGGCCTAGAACTTTTCAGCATCTACTCTTAATAATTTTTTATTCTTTGTGTTTCTTTTTACCTGACTTTTGTTATTTTCTTCTTTTTTTTTTTTATTGCAGCACTCAGCTGATTTATGATTCATGCTATATTGCAGTAATGTGGGGACTCTGTAAGTTGCCCAGACCACCAGCTTATATGGAGTCCTGCATCTAACAGGTGTGGGGTTGACCAGGGTCTGGGGGCTGGTTATCTCCCACCCTTAGCATCAACCTTTTTCTAAAATCCAATATTTTCAAAATATGTTTACTTCAGTAATTTTCCATATTTAGGGGTTTGTCCATCTCCTTTTGGGAGTGGTCAGAGAAATCAAGCCACCCCCTAAACTTCAACTTACTTCACTTTTCATCTCACACCATTGCTCTATGTAGGTGGTAATCTCTCTCTCCCTTCTCCCATATTCTCAGCATCCAACCTTATTTCCAAGCCCGTTTCCAAAGGCTGGTACAACAGCCTTTGTGATGAATCCAAACATTTAGAATGTTTAGGCAAAAAGTAATCAATCATTATTTTTCAGGTTGTCTCATGTTGGTTGTTTTATAGGTGACTTGCCAAATCCAAGGACTTGACCCTTGTAATGGCATTTGCCTTTTTTCTGACTTGAGAGAACTGACGACTGTGTGAAGTATGTTTAAGGCTTTTATTTGTCAAAACATATTGCAGCTGTGAAAACTGAAAATACTTAAAACAAAGATATTAAAAAGGATTCAGATATAAAATAATACAAAATATCTTCTAACAAACAAGCAAACATACAAATATCACAAGAATACATCTCAAAGCCATGTGAGGTACAAAGAAATGACAAAATATGTGAAAAGTATTCAAAATACCAGTGTAAGAGATATTTATATGTTAACACACACGCATATGTTAACACACTTGAGTGTTTACTCAAGTAATTTTTTATTATTTCCAAAGTCTGGTACAACTGTCTTTGTGACAAATCCAAAGGTTTAGAATGTGTAGGTAAAAAGTATGAATTAATCTTTATCAGGTTGTCTCATGTTGGTTGTTTTAAAGGTGACTTGCCAAATCCAGGGACTTGACTCTTGTAATAACCTTCACCTTTTGTCTGACATGTTTCAGACAACTATGTGAAGTATGTTTAAGGATTTTGTTTGTCAAATCATTGCAGCTGTGAAAACTGCAAATAATTAAATCAAAGACATTAACAAGTCTGTTCCTTTGCAAATTTGCCAGGAGGTGGCAATATGATACCTGTTTTCAAAGTCAGCAACTCGTTTGGAGTGAGAAGAATAAAATCCTCTTTTTTGACTATTGCCATTGTTTTATAGAACAAAGGTTGTAGAGATAAAGTGTTTATCTGATTTTCTGCCATTGTTTAGATACCCTCCAGTACCCATTAAATGGATCCTATCTGTCTCTCCCACTCTCCGCTAATATGACTTTGAGGTAGGAGTGTTTAAATCAAAATCACAGCTATGTCAAAGCAGAAAGTTTTTTGAGCATGCCTTTTATCCGACTGGTTAAACAGTGCTGAGCTCATTTTAAGCACCCACAAAATTTTATACTTGATCGCACCAAATTTATCCATGAAGTGCTATGAAGCAGTTTATGAAGTTATCTGTGATCATATATTCTAAGACCTCCAGTGTTCTGATCTAAGTAAAGATAGCAGCGATATCTCTTGACAATTCTTCTAGCTTCATTGATGATGAATGGACCAAAACAGAACATAAGACAGTATGCAAAGGGAGGCACTGCCTGAAATCTAACCTCAGGCAAATCTCCCATCATCTGGGTCAGGGCTTTTCCTCAGAAGCACCTACATTCTATACACTGAAACAGAAATGAGTATACTACATTCATACATTTTATAATCGTAAAGCCCCTGTTTCAGAGGTTGGTCATGATCATTGATGTGATACTATCTCATGGTTGTTTTTGATCAATAGTCTGGTAACATGGCTATTCTTTGGCTATATCAGTGGTTGTTTTACTTCAAAGTGTAAGGTTGATCCTTTTAACCTGCCACCCACTCTGAGAATTTTTTCCTTGTCTATCCAGGGTGCTAACAAAAAAGGATGCCTTTTCTTTCTAAAGGAGCAGAGCCTATGGATTTGTTTTCTCTTTGGAGATATACCATCTCTTCTTGAAAGGCATCTGCTTGTAAAGATTTTAATATTAGCTTTGCTGTTCATTGACTCACTGCTTCTGGGGATTCAGGTTCATGTCTTCATTTTGTGTAGTTTGATTCCAGAATATTTGCCACCTCAACAGGTCTAATGTTCTCTTCCTGAATGGTCAATTGAAAGGCAAAACTCTTTTAGGTGAGTGTATTTGGGCTCATGCCTTTAGGTTTCTCTGTACATAGTATGAAGTCTGGTGGCACTTCTTGCATTAGAACCTAGTGCGTTAGACATATGGCATCCCCAGAATCTTCTTGGGAATCAGTCCTTCCCATAATACTCCACCCCAGATCAGTCTATACCCAAAATGCTTGCTATTCTTTACCTATGATGCAATTTCTGGGCACCAGAGCATGGGGGCAACAATATCCAATCAGCCACCCAACCTCACAGTCTTTGAGTTGAGGAATATAGTGAGCAATTGTTTTAATTGAGGCCCCCCTCCCTCTTTGCTGTTTCAGGGATAAGAATGTGACAATGTCCAACGGGAATAAATTCCCGAGAATATGCATTTGGGAGGGGAATCCTGATCTCCGAATCATACCTCCTAATTTTTGTCAAACTATGGCTTTATTTTAAGCAGTCATGGTTGTCAGTCAGAGATTCTCAGGCAGGGAATCCTTTTCCAGCATTTTTTCTGGAACTGTATTACATTTTGAGAGTGTTCAACAGATCAAAAGTTGCATCCAACATGGTGTCTAGGAGGGCATATGTTAAATGTTCTTTCTGTGGGTTCAAGGCATTTGTCAGCCAGACTAGTACTACCATAAATGAAATTAGTTGGGTGCTGGTTCCATTATTTGATACTCCTTTGCAAACCAAAGCACTGGAGCTGTCATCTCTGGACCTAAATTAATTTGATGCAGGAATCTGTTGCACCTGGTCTGGTCTTCCCTCATGCTTATCCTGAGACTGATTTATTCGCAAAACACATAGTGTGATGGTGCTTACAGTGATGGCAAACACTCCTTTGTTGACACTTCTTGGATATATGCTCTTTACCCAGTCAGGCAACACACAACTCATCGTCCTCTTTTCAGACATATGTCTGTTTGAAAAGTTGTGGCAATCCAGCAGCGTATGATCCTTCTTTGGCAGAACAGGCATGGCTTAGCAGCAGGCCGTTTCTGTGATATCTTTGAGGCAATCCAATCCGGGTATTCCATGAGATCTCTAGGCTCTGTGGCTGGGATTTTTCTTAGTACTGATGATGACATACAGGCTTCAATCGAGACCAGGAAATCATTTTATGTCAGAGTGGTGCTGCATAAGAGACACTTTGGGAGATGCTAATAAGCCTTCCTCTTTCAATAGTGGCTTTGGTGGTAATGAACATCCTCCCTGATTCATATTTGTTGTTTTATGGTCAGCTGTCACTAGTGACCCAGATCTGCCCCTGGCTTCTATGTATACATGGAATAGCTGGGACACACTCGATCCATGTAGCTTGAAGTCTTGATTGTTCAAACAGGAACTGCTTTCATACATTGTATTGCTCCATTTCCCACTGTCCCTGTCTTAAAGGGTTTTTGGTTTTGGGCCTTTGCTGTCTCCCTTCATACAATCTCCTTGACTCAGCCTGCTTCTTCATCCTGGATGTTTTGTTCAGCCTTAAGAGCAGCTACTTTCAATGCTAACTTTCTTCTCATGGATGAAGTGTGAGTAGATAAGTGAGAAGACCTGGCAACTGAACCAGGTGGCACATGGGAACTACCAGTTATAAAACTTGCAGTGTCAGCTCAATCAGTAGCTCTTCAGATCCTTAGAGAGGTCTGATTTGCCTTTGTGCTGATCTGGATTACCATACAAGACACACCTGGCTCAAGGCTATCCCCAACGATGTCTGTAAGACAATCAAAGAAAGAAATCATTTCTGCTATGTCTTCTTCTAGTTGTCAATTTCCATCAGTGAGTTCCTTAACAGATAGCTGAGAAAGGTTCTTTTCTGAGAACCTACAGATGAGCCGATCCAAAACACTGCACTTGCCGTATACATTTCGGGCCAGCTCACTTGATCTGTTTTCATCTGCCTTCAAAGTGAGTTTCATTTCCTTGTGGATCATTGCAATTCATATTCAGCAATCGCACTGAGTAGAACTGAGTAGAACTGGGATGTGGCCATACTTTTAGTGCAAGCTACCAAATCTCTTGAATGTCTTCAATGCCATAGACATTTTTTTCTCTTCCAAAACCTTCAATGGGACAATTTTATTTTAAATAAAGGAAAAGAGTGCTTGTCAAAAAACAGAGTCCTTAATAGCAACAAATAATTTTTATCTGCATGAAAAGAGTTCTTATTAAAAAAACAAAACTCTTTCTAGTTTTTGTTTCTACACACAAAGGATGCTTATTGGAAAACAAACAAATTTTTTTAGCTCTCCACCCCTTCAAGAAATGGCATTTTTAAGACAACTAAATGAACAAATGTTGCAAAAAAAAAAATCACATAAATATAGACAAAAGTTATAAGAAAAGAAAAGACACAAATACAGAAAGACAATGAAGAAAAAAAATAAAACTTAAATAGATTAGGGGTCTGTCAGTTAACCTTCTTCTAATGTTCAAAATCACTATTAGGGAATGCTCTCATGACTATAAGTATTTTACGATATTTTTCTCTTTGACGACTTACTTTTTCCACTTGCACGTCATCATGTAAATCGCTTGCAGAGAACCTGCTCCCTTTGGGAAACACATAAACAATAGATACACACATACATACGCACATTCACTCACTTCATATACTTTGAACCCAAACAGTTTTCACGTTCATTTGACACGCTCGACTTTGTCATTGTCACTTTTTAACCCTTTATTGTTAATACATTATCATTTGTTTGGACATATATATTGGTTATTGTCCTTTCTTTTCATCTTTTTATGCAGACTCATATCCCAAGTCTGCCATGTTTTTGTGAGCATTTCAGGAGATACACATGTTCATCTCTTGACACAAATACCAGCCTATAGCAGGTCTCTCTGTCAACAAGTAATAGACAGACACAAAAACAAATAGAAAGAAAGAGAAGAAAAAGCAATAAATAGTTCTCGAAATAGTCAACAATGACATGGGTTTTCTTTTTTCACGACAAAAAACAACAAAGTACACAACCCCGAAATCACTTTCTCGGCTTGTGGGTAGGAACACATACAGAAACCACTGCCAATTTGAGTGTTAAAATGTCTCTTAATGGTGCTAAAAAGCTCTTTGAGTAACCTTCTTTTTTTTTTTTTATCTTTTTCAATTTCATATGCTTCTTCTTTTTAAAGTTGTATTTCACTGTCATGGAAATGTGATGGTGACAACGACTGCTCTGAAGGAGAAGATGAAACTAACTGCGGTGAGTTTTTCATAATTTTTTACATCATATTTATAACATTTTCCAGCATCATTTTCGAAATCTACATTTTTAAACTTTAGCCATGCTCAGCAATTTGCATCTTGGGTAAATTGAGGTTACTTCCCTTGTGCACCTTACATTTTATTTGAATTTAGTTACTTCCCTTCATCATGCATCTTTTTGTCTTAATCACATTCGCGCAAAGCAAGGCAGTAAAGCTACTAAGACAAAGGGTGTTTCTTGGGGTAGAATAATTAGAAAACAGAAACATTGCTAACAGGTGAGAACAACTGCAAAGTATTCGGGAGGAGAGTAGAGAGCAATTGACATTGCATTTAAATTTTTAGAGATTAAAATTGAGCGGAAAGCATGAAGTCAGAAGGAGTACTAAAAGTGAGAAGTTCAGTAGAAGAAAATGAACTGTAAATTTAGGAGACCTTGTGTTATGGTCCAGGTTAGATAGTAGAAATAACGAAGGTATGTTACATGAAATAATAATACAAGATGTGGAAGGTGTTAGTATGACTGTCAGTCTGGTTTGGAGTGAACTACTATCGGCTCGACTCGATTCGACCCTCTCTCTTGAGAGGCGTAGTATACATAGTGTTAGGAAGATTTCATTCTGTAGTTATAGGTAAGGACCCATGACACCTTGTCACCTGTCTAGTACTGCATTTAAATTTATAGGGACTATGAACCATAGTGAAGACTTCACTCAAAAATTATGATAAAAGTATTTATAGGACAACCACAGGGAGGCAAATTTATGAATGTGTAAAGTGACTGAAGCCAAGATGCCAGGTCAGCACTAATAAAATTGCGGATTCTTTTTCAAATTTTATCTAAATATAAATAATATAAGACCAAATGCATCAGTGATATTGTAAGCGTAAATATAATGAAATCGTAGACATAAGATATATAATATAAATAATGGATGGAAAAATTGTCTAGCACGACACAGTGAATCAATTTTCTTAGAAGTTGAATTAGCAATGGCTTCCATATAGTGTTTCCATTTTATGTAAGCTGAGAAGTTTAGTGCCTGAAAGTGCAACAAAGCAATTTCTTGGAGGTTAGCATGAGACATACTGATGGAAGACAGAAATTAGTCTCTTAGATAATCAATAGAGAGCAGTTTAGTTTTGGAGGTGTCAAAATTAACAAGCCATTCTTTGTCAGTTAATAACAGCCAGTAGATTGCTTTTGACATCAGCTGCCAATTTGACCTTATTGAACTGATCAGTGTCAGTATGGAGACAGGAGTAAATGGTTGTGACATCAGTATAGATAGAAAGTTGAGAGCGGATGTCATTGGAAAGGGTGTTAATGAAAATTAAGAACAAAGTAGGGCCAAGAATAGATCTGTGGCGGGTGGGGAACAACTAATTTGAATTTGTTTACTTCCCTTTGTCATGCAGATTTCTGCAAATCTTTTATATGACAATTATTATTTCTCCATACCAACTAAAAGTATAAACTGCATGAATGAAATCGCTTTTTTATTAAGTCCTTACTGTGATAATAATGAAGTATGTCATTTTACCCATTTCAAAACTAAACAATGGAACTCTTGCTTTATCCAGAGAAAATAATCACTGATTCCAATTCACCAGATGCTAAGAGGGAGTATTGCCTCGGGCAAAGAATCTTTCACAATTTTCTGAAGGATAGTTACAGCACTACTTGCAATAAACTACATTAGTTAATGAAATTTGTGTATGTTTCTGAATTCATTTCCTTTGCGGAGGCTCTAAGAACTCTGGATAGATTATATATCAAGAAAAAACAAAATGATCTACGGATATCTTCTTACTGCCAAGAATCTTTAGCCTCCTGAAACTATCGATAATTTCCTCAAGTGACTCAACATAATTAGTAAAAACTGTATCTTTACAGTTTTCTCAACCTAAGCCCCATTGGACAGAATTGGTGAGAGCTGCTTTCTTTAATGGACTGTTATTGGTAAACATCCAGCAGCATCTATTGGGACTCACCTGTTTCTTATGTAACATACCATCCAGGGAAACAAATCACTGCAGGTGAAACACTTTCAAGAATGTGCAGGATCTTAACTTGCAATGAAGGCCTCCTTGAGCTACACAAAAATTTATGCTATGGAGTGTAACAAGAATGCTAGATTTTATTCAAATTTGAAACCTACCATTCTTCATGGATGATTTAAAAGAATCTATAAGGAAATGGTGAACTAAAATCAAAATTCTACAGAGCTAAAACAGGAATGGTAGTATAAGCCACACAACTGGATGAGAGGCTTCTGCTGTATTTCAAGGCTCAACTCTTGTCTAAAACTAAAAACAAATATCCATGACCAATAATAGATGAATTCTTGTGTTTTAAATTCTTGATACTCTGTCCTGATGTAACTGAGAAAATAGTAATCCATGCTTTCTGTTCCCTCATCTCAATTTTTGGTTGACCTGCCTATATTTACTCAGACTGAGGAAACGTCATTATGGCTGATCAGGTGAGACAGTTCCTACATAAACAAGGAGTAGCCACTAGTATGACTACCCAATATAATCTGCACGGTAAGGGTCAATTTGAGAACTTTTCAATTTGCAGCCAGAAAATGTGAACTGCATTGACCTTTGGGAAAGTCTAATACTGACAGCCTCCCACACCATAAGATCCCTACAATACAAGATGACAATTGCCACTCCACACAAAAGATTCATTTAATTCCCATAAAGTTGATCTACAGGCAATTACTTCATTGGCATCATGGTTGTCACAACCAGCAAAATTGCTATTAAAATGGCACAAATGCCAGAATAAGCAAGAACCACTAAGAAATAGAGTGTAATTGTTAGAAGCAAATCCTCCAGCTCGACAGAAATTGCAGGTAATGCTAGAGAAAAATGAAGAGAAATCCAGGTGAAAGTAGACAATTAATTTTTGAAGATGTGGAAGATTCTTACAGTACCTGGATTTTGACCAAGAAATGTACATCATAATATTAATCTGGAAGGAATCGGTAAAAGTTAGATAGAGGAAGAAAGGAGAAAAGATGGTGCAGAAGATGCTTACAGTACCTGGTTTTTATTGGCTTCTATGGTAATTTCTAATGAAATTTTACAAAATATAGAAGATAACATGCATTACATTATTTAAAGTTTCAAATATCTATTTTCAATGTATTAAAGATTTTTCTTTTCTTTTTTTTGGTAATTTCTTTTCTGGCCTCAACATAAGACTCTTCAAAATGTTTACCAGATCAAATGACTTGTGCCTCTTCAGGCAGGTAAGTCGAGAGATTTTTCTCATACTCCTTATTATTGCACATTGACTGCTTTACATTGATTCATAGAGTACAAAATAAGTGGTTTTAAATAATATCTGGCCAAAGGACTAAACAGAATTTTATTTTTGAAAGGACATCTTGGTCAGGCCAAGAACTTTTCAGCATCTACTCTTAATAATTTTTCATTCTTTGTTTTTCTTTCTACCTGACTTTTGTTACTTTCTTTTTTTTAATTGCAGCATTCAGCTGATTTATGATTCATGCTATATTGCTTGTTTACATTGATTATAATTGTAACCCACTCACTCACCACGTTGGTCTTCACATTCCTTCAGACCACCATGGTTACCATTTGGCTGACTTATTACTCGTTAATGCATTGCTCGTTTGTCTCAGGTATCATGATGATGAGCACAATTCCACTTGATTTAGTTGGCCTTCGTCTTCTTCACAACCATTCACACTTCTGATATGTTGTGTTTTTGAACTCAGAAAATCAAAGAACAAGTCAGTGATGAGAATTTTTTAAATAAATAAAATTTGCTTGAGTTAAAAATGTAACAAAGATTTGGTTTATATGTGATTTGTTGCATACAGTGGTTTTAACTCTCCCCACTTTTGTTTTAGTCAAATGACAGTGCGATTCCCTTTAGGAGTTTACATCCTGTATTAGTAGTAATTTAAATTTCTAATTTCTGGTACAAGAGCTTGGTCAGAAGTCTCGGGTAACGATGTGGATTCTAGTAGCAGCAATGTGGGGACTCTGTAAGTTGCCCAAACCATCAGTTTATATGGAGTCTTGCATCTAACAGGTGTGGGGTTGACCAGGGTCTTGGGGCTGGTTATCTCCCACCCTCTGCATCAACCTTTTTCTAAAATGCAATATTTTCAAAATGTGTTTACTCAAGTAATTTTTCATATTTAGGGGTTTGTCCAGCTCCTTTGGAGAGTGTTCAGTGAAATCAAACTGCCCATAAAACTACAACTTCACTTTTTATCTCACACCATTGCTCTAAAAAGGTGGTGCTAATCTCTCTCTCCATTCTCCTATATTCTCAGCATCCAACCTTATTTCCAAGCACATTTCCAAAGGCTGGTACAACTGTCTTTGTGACAAATTCAAAGGTTTAGAATGTTTAGGCAAAAAGTAATCAATCATTATTTTTCAGGTTGTCTCATGTTGGTTGTTTTATAGATGACTTGCCAAATCCAAGGACTTGACCCTTGTAATGGCATTTGCCTTTTTTCTGACTTGAGAGAACTGACGACTGTGTGAAGTATGTTTAAGGCTTTTATTTGTCAAAACATATTGCAGCTGTGAAAACTGAAAATACTTAAAACAAAGATATTAAAAAGGATTCAGATATAAAATAATACAAAATATCTTCTAACAAACAAGCAAACATACAAATATCACAAGAATACATCTCAAAGCCATGTGAGGTACAAAGAAATGACAAAATATGTGAAAAGTATTCAAAATACCAGTGTAAGAGATATTTATATGTTAACACACACACATATGTTAACACACTTGAGTGTTTACTCAAGTAATTTTTTATTATTTCCAAAGTCTGGTAAAACTGTCTTTGTGACAAATCCAAAGGTTTAGAATGTGTAGGTAAAAAGTATGAATTAATCTTTATCAGGTTGTCTCATGTTGGTTGTTTTAAAGGTGACTTGCCAAATCCAGGGACTTGACTCTTGTAATAACCTTCACCTTTTGTCTGACATGTTTCAGACAACTATGTGAAGTATGTTTAAGGATTTTGTTTGTCAAATCATTGCAGCTGTGAAAACTGCAAATAATTAAATCAAAGACATTAACAAGTCTGTTCCTTTGCAAATTTGCCAGGAGGTGGCAATATGATACCTGTTTTCAAAGTCAGCAACTCGTTTGGAGTGAGAAGAATAAAATCCTCTTTTTTGACTATTGCCATTGTTTTATAGAACAAAGGTTGTAGAGATAAAGTGTTTATCTGATTTTCTGCCATTGTTTAGATACCCTCCAGTACCCATTAAATGGATCCTATCTGTCTCTCCCACTCTCCGCTAATATGACTTTGAGGTAGGAGTGTTTAAATCAAAATCACAGCTATGTCAAAGCAGAAAGTTTTTTGAGCATGCCTTTTATCCGACTGGTTAAACAGTGCTGAGCTCATTTTAAGCACCCACAAAATTTTATACTTGATCGCACCAAATTTATCCATGAAGTGCTATGAAGCAGTTTATAACATAAGACAGTATGCAAAGGGAGGCACTGCCTGAAATCTAACCTCAGGCAAATCTCCCATCATCTGGGTCAGGGCTTTTCCTCAGAGGCACCTACATTCTATACACTGAAACAGAAATGAGTATACTACATTCATACATTTTATAATCGTAAAGCCCCTGTTTCAGAGGTTGGTCATGATCATTGATGTGATACTATCTCATGGTTGTTTTTGATCAATAGTCTGGTAACATGGCTATTCTTTGGCTATATCAGTGGTTGTTTTACTTCAAAGCGTAAGGTTGATCCTTTTAACCTGCCACCCACTCTGAGAATTTTTTTCTTGTCTATCCAGGGTGCTAACAAAAAAGGATGCCTTTTCTTTCTAAAGGAGCAGAGCCTATGGATTTGTTTTCTCTTTGGAGATATACCATCTCTTCTTGAAAGGCATCTGCTTGTAAAGATTTTAATATTAGCTTTGCTGTTCATTGACTCACTGCTTCTGGGGATTCAGGTTCATGTCTTCGTTTTGTGTAGTTTGATTCCAGAATATTTGCCACCTCAACAGGTCTAATGTTCTCTTCCTGAATGGTCAATTGAAAGGCAAAACTCTTTTAGGTGAGTGTATTTGGGCTCATGCCTTTAGGTTTCTCTGTACATAATATGAAGTTTGGTGGCACTTCTTGCATTAGAACCTAGTGCGTTAGACATATGGCATCCCCAGAATCTTCTTGGGAATCAGTCCTTCCCATAAAACTCCACCCCAGATCAGTCTATACCCAAAATGCTTGCTATTCTTTTCCTATGATGCAATTTCTGGGCACCAGAGCATAAGGGCAACAATATCCAATCAGCCACCCAACCTCACAGTCTTTGAGTTGAGGAATATAGTGAGCAATTTTTTTAATTAAGGCCACCCCCACCTTCTCTTTGCTGTTTCAGGGATAAGAATGTGATAGCATACAAGCAGAAGAAATTCCCAAGAATATGCATTTGGGAGGGGAATCTTGAGCTTTGAATCATACCTCCCTACCACCAAGTTGTTGAATTTTAAGACACTATGGTTTTATTTTTTGCAGTCATGGTAGTCAGTCAGAGATTGTCAGGTGGGGCATCCTTTTCCAGCATTTTTTCTGGAACTATATAACATTTTGAGAGTGTTTAACAGATCAAAAGTTGCATCTAACATGGAGTCTAGGAGGGCATATGTTAAATGTTCTTTCTGTGGGTTCAAGGCATTTGTCAGCCAGACTAGTACTACCATAAATGAAATTAGTTGGGTGCTGGTTCCATTATTTGATACTCCTTTGCAAACCAAAGCACTGGAGCTGTCATCTCTGGACCTAAATTAATTTGATGCAGGAATCTGTTGCACCTGGTCTGGTCTTCCCTCATGCTTATCCTGAGACTGATTTATTCGCAAAACACATAGTGTGATGGTGCTTACAGTGATGGCAAACACTCCTTTGTTGACACTTCTTGGATATATGCTCTTTACCCAGTCAGGCAACACACAACTCATCGTCCTCTTTTCAGACATATGTCTGTTTGAAAAGTTGTGGCAATCCAGCAGCGTATGATCCTTCTTTGGCAGAACAGGCATGGCTTAGCAGCAGGCCGTTTCTGTGATATCTTTGAGGCAATCCAATCCGGGTATTCCAGGAGATCTCTAGGCTCTGTGGCTGGGATTTTTCTTAGTACTGATGATGACATACAGGCTTCAATCGAGACCAGGAAATCATTTTATGTCAGAGTGGTGCTGCATAAGAGACACTTTGGGAGATGCTAATAAGCCTTCCTCATTCAATAGTGGTTTTGGTGGTAATGAACATCCTCCCTGATTCATATTTGTTGTTTTATGGTCAGCTGTCACTAGTGACCCAGATCTGCCTTTGGCTTCTATGTGTACATGGAATGGCTGCGACACCACACTGGATTCATGTAGCTTCAAGGCTGCAAAGTCTTGATTGTTTAAACAGAAGTTGCTTTCATACATTGTATTGTTCCATCTGTTGCCCCTGTTTTAAATGTTTTTTGGTTTCAGCCTTCTCTGTCTTGTCTCAAAATCTCCTTGACTCAGGCTGCTTCTTCCTCCTGGAACTTTAGCTCAGTCTTAAGAGCAGCCACCTTCAATGTTAGCTTTCTTCTGATGGATGAAGTGTGAGAAGATACATGAAAAGACCTGGCAACCAAAGCAGGTGGTACACGGAAACTACCAGTTATACTAGCAGTGTCAGCTCAATCAGTAGCTCTTCAGATCCTTAGAGAAGTCTGATTTTCCTTTGTGTTGATCTGGATTACCACTTGAGACACACCTGGCTCAAGACTATCCGCAACAAGGTCTATAAGACAATCAAAGAAGAAATCATTTCTGCTATATCTACTTCTAGGTGACTATTTGCATCGGTGAGTTCCTTAACAGATAGCTGAGAAAGGTTCTTTTCTGAGAACTTATATACGAGCCGATCCAAAACACTGCACTTGCCATATACATTTTGAGCCACTTGATCTGTTTTCCTCTACCTTCAAAGTGAGTCTCTTTTTTCCTTGTGGATCATTGCAATTCATATTCAGCTGTAGTATTAGACAGAACCAGGATGTGGCCATCTTCTAGTGCAAGCAACCAAATCTGTTGAATATCTTCAATGCCAGAGACGTTTTCCTCTTCAAAAACCTTCAATAGGTCAATTTTTTTTTTTTTTTTATGAAATGAAAAGAATGCTTGTCTAAAAACAAGTCCTTAATAACAACAAACAATTTTTTCTGCAAGAAAAGAGTGCTTATCCTTCTTTTTCCTTTAATCTTTTTGAATTTCATGTGCTTCTTTTTCTGCAATGAAACTGTTGGGTTTTACCCTGAATTCCTTATTAATGAATGGTCTAAAAAACTTCAGATACTGAAAGAAAGTAAATAAGTGAGAACGAATTTGAGCTGGGATCACTTCTGAGTAATAACATTAAGAAATTTACATTATTTTTTTAAAGCTGTATTTCACTGTCATGGAAATGTAATGGTATTAAGGACTGTCCTGGAGGAGAAGATGAAACTAACTGCGGTGAGTTTTTCATAAATTCTTACATTGTATTTATAACATTTTCCAGTGTCATAGATAAAAAGTTGTGGACACAAATTTTAAGATCTTTAGATCTTGAAATTTGAGTCCAAAAGATCTTTATATTTACATACAGATCTTTTATATCTTTGTTTACATACATTTAGATCTTTATATTTACATACACCCTTGTGCAAATTAATTGAAACAAAACGAATAATTCCGTTATTATTTACTTTTTTTTTCATATTTTTTCAATGAAACATAACCCAGTGCACATGTTAGTACTTCATATATCCATTCCATAAAGTTATTCCTTGCAGATTGACTACAGATTCTTGACTGGATTTAAATCAGAAGAGTTTCTGGGCAAGTCTATAGTACTTTGATGTACTCACTGGTAAGGCTTACCTGTGAGTTCATGCAGCATTACAATTTTCTTACACTTTCTTAGAGTAATATCCATTGCAGACAATGGTTATAGGACAACTAATCAACAGTTGAGACAATAGTGTCTGGGTGTGATAAAATTCTGATGCAATCATGGATGATGTAATATTTTTCAAGACCAAACAAATTTCATTATACACCTTGAAAATAGATTCATATTACTGCACACCACTGCAAATGACTTAATCTGAGGAAAAAAATAGAAATTGATTACACCCTGTTACTTCAGTGGGTCTAAAACTAACTGTATGGTGAAAGAAAGAAAACTAAAGTGGTTGTTTCAATTAAATTGCACAAAGGTATAATTTCTTAAACACTTTTACAGAAACATTTCAATCAGATAGGACACTCATATCAATTAAAATGTAGATTTGCTTTTAATTCTTGATAATTATTTCTAATCTTTTTGCCTTAATGGTCATATCAGTATTTACAACAAAAACCCTTAACATTTTGTTCCACTACGTTTCACTATCTTTGTGGCAGTTTCATGATTCTATCGTTCAAGAACTTGAAATCTTTCTGGTTGAGGAACTGGTCAAAGTAGATTTTGAGTTTCCACTGAATTAATGTTCTTCCTATTATAAATATTTTATCAGGATTGAAATAAGTTGTTATTTAAAGGTACAAAATCAGGTGTGTACTCTAAGTGTAATAGGACATCCTAACCAGATTGTATCATTTTCAGTTGGGGTCTTTAATAAGTTGTGAGTTCTGGTGTTCTGATGAAAAATAGGAATCGACTGCAGTCTATGAAAACAAACCTTTCCTTACATTCATAGTATGTGCTTAGCCAGGGCTACATACCATTTTCAATTCAGTGATTTTCTTCTTCGAAAGCTGGTTGAAATAGAACCCAGTCTGTTCTGCTATCCATTGTATGTGCTTAGCCAGGGCTACATACCATTTGTAAAAAGATGTGAAGTCTGATGTTCTAATGGAAAACAAGAATCAACTGCAGTCGGGATCATTGAGTCAATGTCAACAACCCTTTCCTTAGATGCATAGTATGAATTTTGCCAGGACTACATACAGTTTTGAATTCAGTTTTCCTTCTAGAATGGTTGCCAAAGCTGTAGAACCCAGTTTGTTAAAGAATTGACCATAGTTGGGATAGGACACTCATATCAATTAAAATGTAGGTTTTCTTCTTGTTATGGTCCGGTTCCTTGTACCACGGTGATAGTCCAAGGTAGAACCAATAAAGAAGAACTTGAACACAGGTATGGAATAACACAGATATATTACAAACAGGAATATATACAGAGAAGTAGAAGTGTTAGTACGAACAATGAGGTTTAGTAGGGAGAACAATGTAGTCTCGACCAGTATCACTATTCCAATGTCTTGCAGTAATTGTCTGAATGCGACTCTGTTTTGGACTGCCTCTGACTCGACTCTTGACTCAACTTGAACTACTGACTCAACTGACGATATTCAGTCACCCCCCCCCCACGAGGGTGTCATGTGGCACAAGGCCTTTTTAACGTGGGCATTCTGAGCCCATGGGCTCGGACAAAAATATGCCCATTGAACCCGTATAAACGGGTTCAGGGCCGGTTTACCTCCCCGAAGGAGACTCCGCCCTTTGGCGTAGCCTCCTTCGGGTTCCTCCCGTCCGTAGGAAGAGAGTACAACCGAACAGTCGCTCAGAAAGTACTGACTTGACTGACTCTTTGCCTACTCCTGAGGCGCAGTATTTATTAAGTATGGAATAGTCCATTATTATTATTATTATGGGTAAGATCCCATAACACTTCTAATTCTTGATAATTATTTCTGATCTTTTTGCCTTAATGGTCATATCAGTATTTACAACAAAGAGCCTTAACACTGTGGCATTGTTTCCTCTTCTTCGGTTACTGCTTGTTATTGCAGTTATTTATTACATGTAGTTTGTAATGCATGCAAATGTAGATATTGACCTATTCTGTCATGCCTTCCATTAATATTCTGCTATAGTTGAGATGGCATTTGTCTTCTTTCTGCTCTATATTAATGATCTGCCTAAGAACATACTCTAATCCTTAGCGAATATCTAGGCAGATGACATAACAGTTTATAGATGACAAGTGTTACTGTTATGATGTTGATTTGGGGTTAGTAGAGACAAACGCCAAATAACACGTAACAATAAAAAGGGTTTTTAATAGGTTGGTAAAATACAGTACAGAAATCGCCTGAGTAGTCAAAAACTAGCTCAGCTAAGAACTTCTCTGTCTATCTATCTTCTCCATGTCAACTGACATGCCACTATTTAAAGTATTTGTTCACAGACGCAGACAAGTTCATCTTCAAGAGGGGTGGTAGGTTTCTGACACAACAGTTACTGAAAGTGAAAGAGAATGAGAAGACTTTAGTAAGGAGAGGACAATAAAATAACAGAATTTAGTAAGACAGAAGATGATTGATGAATATGTGATATTTTCAGCTTCACTTCAAATGTACACTCACAGCTTTACATTTGCATTGGGTTGGAACAAAGGGTCATAGCATTTTTAAGCAAATTTCAAAAACAATATTTAAGTATTTCTACATAGATTTATTTAACCACCTATTTATCATTTTGTTCATCTACTTTTCACCATTTTGAGACAGTTTCATGATTCTATCTTTCAAGAACTTGGAATCTTTCTGGCTGACGAACTGGTCAAAGTAGATTTTGTATTTCCACAGAATTAAAGTTCTTCCTATTAAATCATAAATATTTTGTCAGGATTGAAATAAATTGTAATTCAAAAGAGCAAAGTCAGGTAGGTACAGTCAGGGTAGTAGGAAATCCTAGCCAGACGGTACCATTTTCTATTGTGATTTGTAAAAAGATGTGAAGTCTGGTGTTCTAATGGAAAACAAGAATCAACTGCAGTCAAGATCATTGAGTCAATATCAACAACCCTTTCCTTAGATTCATAGTATGAACTTTGCCAGGGCTACATACAGTTTTGAATCCAGAGTTTTCCTTCTCATAGACTGGTTGCCACCCAAGGCTACAAAACCCAGTTTCTTAAAGAGTTGACCATAGTTGGGATCATAAGTTCAATGTGAATAATCTTTTCCTTAGATGCATAGTATATGATTTATCAGGGCTACATACAGTTTTGAATTCATAATTTTCCTTCTCATAGACTGGTTGCCACCCAAGGCTACAAAACCCAGTTTCTTAAAGAGTTGACCATAGTTGGCATCATCAGTTCAATGTGAATAATCTTTCCCTTAGATGCATAGTATATGATTTGTCAGGGCTACATACAGTTTTGAATTCATAATATTCCTTCTTATAGACTGGTTGCCACCCAAGGTTACAGAACCCGGTCTGTTAAGGAGTTGACCATAGTTGGGATCATCAGTTCAATGAATAGATATTTTTCCTTAGATGCATAAGTATATGATTTGTCAGGGCTACATACAGTTTTGAATTCAGAATTTTCCTTCTTATAGACTGGTTGCCACCCAAGGTTACAGAACCTGGTCTGTTAAGGAGTTGACCATAGTTGGGATCATCAGTTCAATGTGAATAATCTTTTCCTTAGATGCATAGTATATGATTTGTCAGGGCTACATACAGTTTTGAATTCAGAATTTTCCTTCTCTATAGACTGGTTGCCACCCAAGGCTACAGAACCCGGTCTGTTAAGGAGTTGACCATAGTTGGGATCATCAGTTCAATGTGAATAATCTTTTCGTTAGATGCATTCTATATGATTTGTTAGGGCTACATACAGTTTTGAAGGGAAATTTTCCTTCTTAGACTGGTTGCCACCCCAAGGCTACAGAACCCAGTCTGTTAAGGAGTTGACCATAGTTGGGATCATCAGTTCAATGTGAATAATCTTTTCCTTAGATGCATAGTATATGATTTGTCAGGGCTACATACAGTTTTGAATTCATAATTTTCCTTCTCATAGACTGGTTGCCACCCAAGGCTACAGAACCCAGTCTGTTAAGGAGTTGACCATAGTTGGGATCATCAGTTCAATGTGAATAATCTTTTCCTTAGATGCATAATATATGATTTGTCAGGGCTGCATACAGTTTTGAATTCATAATATTCCTTCTCATAGACTGGTTGCCACCCAAGGCTACAGAACCCGGTCTGTTAAGGAGTTGACCATAGTTGGGATCATCAGTTCAATGTGAATAATCTTTTCCTTAGATGCATTCTATATGATTTGTTAGGGCTACATATTTTTTTTGAATTTAGAATTTTCCTTCTCATAGACTGGTTTTACCCAAGACTACAGAACCCAGTCTGTTAAGGAGTTGACCATAGTTGGGATCATCAGTTCAGTTCAATGTGAATAATCTTTTCCTTAGATGCATAGTATATGATTCGTCAGGGCTACATACAGTTTTGAATTCAGAATTTTCCTTCTTATAGACTGGTTGCCACCTAAGGTTACAGAACCCGGTCTGTTAAGGAGTTGACCATAGTTGGGATCATCAGTTCAATGTAAATAATCTTTTCCTTAAATGCATAGTATATGATTTGTCAGGGCTACATACAGTTTTGAATTCAGAATTTTCCTTCTCATAGACTGGTTGCCACCCAAGGT